GGGTGCTCTCCCTCCCCGTGGTGCCCAGGCCGTGTCCTGGGGCGAGGGCGGCGGAAGGCGTGCGGGGAGGCCGCAGTAGCGCGGCCCAGGGCCCTGCTTCCCCTTCGGCCTCCGAAAGCGGTCTGGGCGCTGCACCTAGCCCGGGCTGACCCGCCTGGCGCTTCCCCGAGCTGGCCGAGGCCTGCCCGAAAAGTCAAGAGGCTCTTCCGTTAAGGGAATTCCTGCCATGCTTGCAGGACCGTGGCTGATTCAGCAGGCTAGGCGTCCTTGACGTTCTTTGGTTCTGCCCTTGGGAACGTGATCCGGTCAGGACAAAAATATATATATGTAGAATATATATATGCACGGAACAATCACAATGAATTTTTCTGCCCTCTGCTTGCACCTCTGCTTCTGTTTTGCTGTTGCTGACAAATTTCCCTCAGCTTGTAGTTGACAGCTCTGGGAAAACAGAAAAAATAGTTGCCTATATATGTGTGTGTGTATATAGGAAAAGCACTATGACAGGGGAAGTTCAAAGAGTGAATATCAGAAATATCTAGTTGACTTGTGTATGTATGCTTGTGCATGTAGTACCTCAACATGTATGGCGGATAAATTTGGATACCCCAGAGGAGGCTCATCAAAATCTCTCTTTTGGTGCTGCGGATCGCTGGTGGGAGCAAGTAGATCTGACCAAGTTGATTTTAGCCTCAAACAAACTGCAGTGTCTTTCAGAGGATGTCAAACTTCTGCCTGCGCTCACTGTGCTCGATGTAAGTACAACGATCCCATTGTAATAAGACTGCACTCCCTTTGTGGGAGGTGGGGAAACAGTCTCTGATCTTTCTTTTCCATTTTCTGTGCTGGTGAATGTGTAGAACTGGCGTTGGTGTATTTTCAAGGAAAAACTAGGGATTTTTACAAAACACCCTAGTCAGTTTTTATGCTGATCGTGGGTTTTGTTTTGTAGAAAGATATAGGAGATTTTACAGTGGGTACTGAAAGAAGAGCTGTTAACAGGATACAGCCTCCTTTCTTGCACTTTTTCTCCCCACCGTTCATTTCTCATCTTTTCATCTCTCACCACTTACTATCAATTAAGTGAACTTTTGCCAGATTGACAGTTGCAATGCTGCTATTAATAATTGCAGAGGCGTGTGTACACCTGTCACCTGTGTACAAAATTATTCTGTGTATTAGTTTAGCTTGATTTGCTTCTTGGGTAAGGGAAAATAACACTACAAGGTACAAATTAGTAAATGTATTTTAAAAACTTCATTTTCTAGGTACATGATAATCAGCTGACATCTCTTCCTTCTGCTTTGGGACATTTAGAAAATCTTCAGAAACTTGATGTCAGGTAAGTACGTGTTACAACATGAAAGCATGGGAAATACTGCAATGACTTTCAAGGAATGAACGAGCAACTGAAATTAATTAAATTGTCTTTCAGAAAAGTTACTTTCATTTCAGATTGTTTTCAGCTAGAGAATACTTTGAAAACCTTAATTCTTATCTGTGAATGACTACGTAGATGCTGCAACGTGAAAACGTTTTGCAGGAGCCTGTTCCACTGCAGGTGTAACGGATAGTTGTTCTGTACCAACACAGAATATCCAGTGTATCTGATACTGGATGTACTTCATACTTGCTCTAGGGTCTGTAGAGTGTGGGTTTCAAGGAGTCATGCATGGCTAGGATAGTGCTGCTATTACAAGTATCATAACCCTAGTTAGGATGGCATAACGTATAAGAAAAAATGTTCTGTATGCAGTTGAGTTTTTACAACTACTTAATAATTGATTTTTCCCTTGTTTTCCGTGTTTTAATACTAGCCACAACAAACTGAAAACTATCCCAGAAGAGTTGATGCAGTTGACACACTTGAGGAGCCTCCTTCTTCATCACAATGAACTGAGTCATCTGCCGGATGGATTTGGGCAGCTTGTCAATTTAGAAGAATTAGTAAATTGCAGCTCTTTAAATTATTTATTTGTTCAGAAAGGCTGATTTATCCATGTTTTGCTACTGATAGTTTTAAAAAGTATAGCTTAGATGGCAGAACTTTATGAATATTCTAATGACTTCCGTAGCTTATCAGATATTACAGGGTTTTTTTTGAAACCAAGTTTTGCTTTTGGTTTGTCAAATATTTGCAGAAAAATCAAATCCCTTGTGATTTATCAGTCATGGGAGATTTGTCTCTTCCATTCATGTTTCTAACAAGGAAGATCCTGAGGATGTCAGCCAGCCGTCTAATTTTAATGTTCTGCCACTAATTAACTTTGCAGTAGCAGTACTCATGGGATATTTTAAACATCTCTATTTCTAACCTCTTTCTCTCTCTGCGTCTCTCTTTTTTTTTTTTTTTCCTTTCAGGATCTTTCCAGCAACCATCTTACAGACATTCCAGCAAGTTTTGCTTCGCTCATTAACGTAGTGCGACTCAGCGTGGCTTACAATCAGCTCAGGAACCTGCCTGTAGATATCAGTGCAATGAAAAGTAAGTTAGTTTCCTCAGATTATACAATGTCATATAGTTAATTCTGTAGTCGTGTTCAGAAATAAGTCACGTATTATTCAGCATTAAGAAAGTGTGCTCTGAAAGAGTTAATAAGTTCTCAGAAATACAAGTTCAGAATTAATAAAAATAATAAGTCCCCAGCTCATAGCCGCTATAAATCGAACATGAGTCCTTTTATGGTTGGTGTTTCTAGATAAATGGGGCACAAGAAGTAACTGGAGAAGTATAGCTTCTGTTCTGCTTAGAAGTCGGTAGCCTTAAGACTATGTAGTAAACAATTTGACAGATTATTTTCTTCAGTGCATATTTTGAGTGGAAAATTATGCATAAATAGATATTTGAAATTACTGAGGAGTGAAAAAACAAAATGGTGAGCAAAAGAAGTTTACTTCTAAGATTTGAATAATATTGAGTATCAAGATTGTTACTATTTAAATGAAACACATTTTAATTGCTGTGGCTGATCTACAGGAACAGATAGACCGCTGTATTTTTTTTAAGTGGTACAGAAATTATCTGCAGATCTTTCTGAAATGGTCTGTGACAACAGACCTATCCTTTTCTATTCTCTCCAGTCCTTTTACTTCAAAGGACTGGTATCGGGCAGTGTCGTTGAAGGCATTCCAGAATATCTTATGAAGTATAAATTGAAAAGCCGAAGCAAATGTCTGGCTTTCGCAAATGCAGATGCTAACTGGCTTGTCTTCTTACGAAGTTCTGACGGGCAGAACGTCATGTTTATTTTAAAAAGAGAATAGTTATGATTCTGTAGAAGATGTTTTTTATTTACTTTTTCTCACTTGCACACATGTTTCTATAGGCTTAAGACAACTGGATTGTACTAAAAACTACCTGGAAACTGTACCTTCTGAATTGGCGAGTATGGCATCCTTGGAACAACTTTATCTAAGAAAAAATAAATTACGTTACTTACCAGAATTTCCTTCATGTAAATTACTGAAGGTATGGTTTGAAACAGTTAAGGTACTGTAAACGTACCTACAGTAAACTTTTTCTTTATTTTTGTAATAACAACTGTTTGTATAAAGTATTATGAATGGCTGTGATCAATAGTTGTTCATTCTGTGTGCAAAATTATATTTAATATATCATCTGCAACTTCTTTTGCTGTTCCCACTGGTCAAGCTTAATGTCACTTGGAAGACAAACTTGCAGCGGTACTTACTCTTCAGAACTGGGAAACAAAAAATGTACAGGAGGAGTGACTGGATGTAATATTGTCTGCGGTAGTTATTTTTTAATCTCTAGAAGCATTGTCCGGATATGTTTACTTTGTTCGTTGTTATTTTTTCATTGCAACTGTAGAGAAAATATACCATATTTTTTCCTTTAATGTAATCATATCTTCAGATATTTTGTAGCCTAATTATTCGCGATATGCTTAAAATTGAAAACCGTCTGTCTCTCAGGACATCAGAAATTTGTTACTCAATTAATAGGAAAACAACTGGGCCGACTGAATGCTTGTACCATGGTGGTGACAAAATCCATCAAAGAGCGCAGGTGCCAAAGCTATGTAACGCTCAACTGAGCAGTTAAAATTCCAAGATACTTCATTTTTTTTCCCTGAAAAATAAAAAAAAAATCCTGCTAGAGTGTGAAGTTCTGAGTTTTAGTGCCTACAGCAGCATATGTGCTCCCTTTCTGGTCCGAGGATCCCTTCAGTTCTTCTGTTGTAAGTGAAGCATCCCTGAGCAAAGAGAAATATGTAGCAGATTGATTCCGAGCTTGGGAATGGAACTCGAGGCTGTGGATCCTATGATGGTTTCAGAAAAACTAAGTTCAGACTCATGTCTGACTCTTTGGAGGCTTTGGTTTTTCATATGTAGATGCAAGTGAATCAAAGTCTGTATTTTCTCCACATGTCATCATAGGTTTTTGCCAGTGACATGATTCAGGAGATTAATAAGTTACAGAGTAATTTTACCAGGGTAATGTGATTGTGGGTGATTCTTTGTTTCTATAGGAATTACATGCTGGTGAAAATCAGATTGAAATTTTAAACGCTGAGAATCTTAAGCACCTGAATTCTCTCTCTGTATTGGAACTTAGAGATAACAAGATAAAATCAGTTCCTGATGAAATTACTGTGCTTCAGAAGTTGGAACGACTTGACCTAGCCAACAATGATATCAGTAGGTAATATTAAAAACTGCATATATCTGTGTTGAGGCATAGCTAATGACATCCGTATTTGCTTGAAACAGAGTAATAATTCACTAATAATTCTGTAGTTGATATATTTCCGTTTCTAAAATATAATTAAAAATGACTTGATAAAGTAAAAAGAAGCCTTTCTGTTTTATCTAAGTGTTATGATCCGACTGTGCCTATCTTAAACGTAATACATTCTGGATCTTTTGATTTGAACGTGAGCTTCAGAATTCCAGGCCATCTGAAAAGCCGTTGCTAATTCTTTAGAATGTGTTTTGAAGTTGCACTGAATGAGCTGCTTCCATTTGCAGGTTGCCTTATACATTGGGGAACCTTCCTCAGCTGAAATTCCTGGCATTAGAGGGCAATCCGCTGAGAACCATTCGAAGAGACCTTCTGCAAGTAAGCACGTTTAGACAATATATAAAGTTTGGTTATGCTGTAGATTTACATTATTCAAATCGTGAAGCCAAACATGAAAAAATTAGCAAATGTCTAGATTTCAAGTGCCCTGTGCAACTTTCGTCTGTCTCTTGGGTGTGCTGTGATTCAGGAACTCTTTCCACTCAAGTGTGAGGCAATGCATAAAATAGTGAGGGCTGTGGAATAAAGGGGGTTGTTGCTTGTAGGACCTCTTTCTGATTTGCCACAGATGTTGTAATATATATTGCGAATGAAGCAAGGGATGTCTGAAGAACAAAGGATAAAGCGGCTGGCTGCTGCCTTGGGAAACTGGGTTATAGTCCTGCTGCAGTTACAATCAAGTGTGATGCTAGGCGAGTACTATACATGAAGCTTTTCCTAGATGAGCATGGATTTCTGTTTTTCATTTCCTGCTTGCGTGAATTAAGCATCTAGGATTCAATTTCCGAAGCGTATTTGATGGCAGATGTGTTTTGAGGAATGACAGTATGATGTACCACATTTTCATGTGGTCAGATAATCTGTGTTTGCTTTTTAGGTAACTGGCAAAGTGAAGGTGTGGGTTATATATGAAAAAACAAGTACTTAGGGCATCAGGGAGGCTGGGGTGTGGGGACTACTACTGCTGCTACAGAATTACTTTCCCTTCTACCCTCCAGCAGGCCCCTCTTTTCATTGGTGGTATACATTACTTCCTTCTCTTTGTGCTTTTGCCAAGGCATTAAAATGAATGTTTCTGAAGCACTCGAATTCTCTAAAAATGAGGAACGCTGAAGACCCCATGTTGAAATTAAATTTTGTAATATACAGCAATATGCCAAAAATAAGAGGAGAGAAAATCATGTAACTGCTGATTGAGTGAGCATTGTATGCACTACATTAATGAACAGGGTTTCAGTGGATGGAAGTTAATAAGTGATCACAGAGTTCAAACCTGTGCTACAATATACATGCAAAGGAGACTGAGCTAGGGTTGCCTCACTCCTTAACTTCTAGCATACCTTGACTTCTGAGGATTTCGTTTTTTTCCAAGTGTTAAGAGCATACGTGGGTCTAACTTACTGTATATGTTTCTTGTATATTTTATTAGCAAACCAGAGGTACAAGAATTCCATCATGATATTTTATACTTACACTGTCTTGATCCATTACCAACACTGGAAATCTTTATAACTGAAATTTTATATGAACTGTCTGCATTTTTTCCACTTGATTTAATGGAGTAATTGACAAATCATGTAGGTTCCCCAGACGCTTGCTAGCAGAAAGTGAATGGTGAGCCTATGGAATTGCGAGGACTTGAGGGAGGGAGTATAGTCTAGCAGGCACGGATCCCCTTTTGCAGGTCCCTGTTCTGTCTTGTCTCTTCTTACTCTTCAGGCCTCTCATTCTAGTCCCAATCCCATTCATGTCTTCTGTGTGTTTCCTTCTTTCTTGACAAAGCTCCGGTCATCTTTTCTTAAACCCTCGTCTCTTCCTTTTCCACCCTGCTATCCCCTTATGTTTCTCATCTCTTCGCATAACCTATTGTTACTTGTCTACTGATGATCTTATTGTTTACCTTCCCCTCCAAGCAAGCCAGGTGACTTACTCAACTCTCTGTTTGACCTCCATGTTTCTGTTACAAGTCCCCACTTTCCTCCAGCCTCTCTTTCTCAGTATTTTATCTTCAGTTTCTGATGTCCAGTCTCGCCAGATCCCTCGTGCTAGTTCGTTCCTTTCCCACTTCCACATTTTCTTTCTCCTCTCTGCGTTCAGATCAGTCAGTCTCTTCTTGTATGTAGTATAGATGTCAGTCAGAATGAAAAATAGTAACAGTATTCAATGCTTTAGTTCAGTCCATGCTTTTACAACAACAGAGAAGCACGTAAAATCATAAGGAAAGCCTAGCTTCCAAAACAAATGGGGTGACTGAGATTATGCTGGATTACTCAGAGATTATGCAGATGGTAACTGTGTTGTTTGGCCAATATAAGTTGCTGTGAGAGGATTGAAAATCAAATCTTTGGAGAATTCAGCTGATAAAAAACCATGCAAATTATGTAAACTGCAGTGTTTTTCCGAGATCTTATAATTTGGCCAAACTTGGATATAAAGTTCCTGAAATTCTGAACAGTCACCCTCTGTGAGAAATTTGAAGTTCCTTCTCCAAAGCGTGATTGTGTTAGACCTTTTTAAAGAGAAAATTCATTTCATTTGGTCACTTTTACTTGCTTTTGGAAGTGGATGAAGTTTTAGATAAAAAATGTAAAATGTGGCGCTAAGGTGGCTCCTGGTACCAGACGTGGCATGGAAAATTTCACCTGGAATAAACAGATAAAATCATACATAAGCAAATTTATACGCTACTGCAAACGGAGTTCTTCTACAGGAAGCGTTAGGTAGCTTTTATAGTCGGCAGTGCTATGAGCTCCACCTACACAACTGATGTTTGTCATTCTTCCTTGCTAAAAGAGCTATATAAATACTGACGCACAAATGCTTGTTTCACTTATCTTCTTTTTTTTTTTTTTTTTTTAAGAAAGGAACCCAAGAACTTCTGAAATACCTAAGAAGCAAAATTCAAGGTATATTACTCTATTGTATTGCGCTATTAAAGAGAACCTTTTTAAGAAATGAAAAGAGATTAGAACTTACCCAGGGTAGCTGTGTTTTTAATTCATTTCCCCCCAGTTATCCTGCAGTAATAGTGTTTTCTTCACTCAACAGTTTGCTTTCCTTATTCTCTTCGATGATATAAAATAACAAACGTTCATTATGGAGGAGTATTGTTTAGAAAGATAATCCTAAATATTTTCCTCTAACCCTTTATGCATTTTGCATGAGGAATTCAGATTTTTTTTTTTTTTTTTTTGGAACCTAATGGGAAGCTTATGTAAGGAGTTCCTTTTAAGCTTGCCATCTGTCTACTGGCTTGGTCACAGTATGGAAAAACAGGTGAGATTTTGCAGAGGTATTATGTATTATTCATTCATGAAATAACATGGGCACTACAGACAGGTGATTCCTACCAAGTATATGCATGAATAAGTTTGCCTTAAAGTCTTAGTAATGCCATGAAGTCTACGTCCAAGCTGACTAAGAATATAAAAAGTCTTTCAGGAGAAAGTAACCAATTATTTAAAACATACTTCTAAACCTGGTCTATTAGAATTGGTCTTTCTACCATTTAAAAATCTTGATCCCAACATTCCTTGTAGATGTAATTAAAAAGTCTTAAAGCAGAAAATCAGATGAAATGTTGCACAGAGATTACTTCTCTGAACAACTGTTGTATGTTTTTGCAGAATTCTTCTTTGGATTCTGCATTATATCTGTGGATTAAGAAACACCTATTGTATATCATTTTTCTGTAACAGATGCACTACTTTGTAAAATGAATGAATAACGTTTTTTAAAAAGGTGTAAGAAGTTGCTAGTTGCTTTGTGCACCCAAGTCATTCTCCAGATTGATACCTGGGCTTGTAATTCGCTGAGATATTTTGATATTTGGCTCTTCATTTTTGTTCTGTGTTTTCTAAACCAATTAGCAGTGGTCAGACTTTGTATTTTCTTCTTATATAGGATGCAGAGTGTCAGAATCTTTAAGTAGCTTGCATGTTGAGGAGCCTTAATCTTTTCAGAACAGGACTTCAGTTTATCGGTTTAGAAATTTTCATCTTTGTTAACTTTTGAGACGTGTGAAGTAGGCAAAATGACTGAGGTCAGTGCTGACATTAAATAATGATTATGCTGCATTTAAATGACAAAAAACATTTAACTTCTTAATTTAGAAGAGGCCTTGATAATACATATCGGCAGCTTTTATCGAAAATGTATGAAATTTCTTCCTTTTGTAAATAGATTTTATCTCCTCATACCGTAAGGTGGCAGTATTAATTAAGTCACTGTATAGTACAAGGTTACTTGGCTTTCGAAATGTTGGTTCTAAGTGAATCTAACATATTATTACTAGCTTTGCAAATGTTAATTGGATGGCAGAGTACATACTCAGAAGCTCAGTGGGTGAACTTGTCACGAAATGAAAAGGGCCCACCCTGTTATAGAATTATTAACCAATTCATTAACCAGCAACAGTATTCAACATGTTTCAGATGTCAGCATAGGAACTAAGCTACTGCACTGTGGGTTCACCAGCAAAATATATCCCCAATATATCCCTCCTCCCTCCTCCCCACGTGCATGCAATCACTCACCCAAACTTGGGAGAGAGCTCTCAACCTCGAGGAGTTACCTCAGGCGGCGTCCCAACCTGAGGGGAGAGTTCTTCCCCTGCAGACCCGCTGCTTCCGAGGAGAACCTGGCTCAAACTCGGAAAGCCCAGGGCTAGTTGTATACCCTAAGTTGAATTGAGGTCAACAATATTTTGAGCTGGAAAGACCCCGGTAACAGGTGATGTAATGGCTCTTGAGAACTGGGCTCTGGGCTTTCAACTGCACCTTCTCAGCACTGTCGGTGGGAAGAAGCCATTGCATACCTGCCAGCAAGCACGTACTCTGGGGGCGGGGGCCATCTAGTCGGCCCAATGATCCAGGTCTCACTGGGGTTCAATGTGCACTTACACACAGAACTATAATAGTTAATATAATTGTGGATAATAAAATTAGCTAATGTCTTGCATGTACGGGAATATTTATCATTGTACTGTACCTGTTACTATGACATCTAAGAGAGAGAGAAACAAAGAGCAGTAGCAGTCCTCTTCCTGTAGAGGTTTAAATTGAGAATAAGCCTCTTGAACCTTCTTTTTGACCATTGTTAGTAAAAAGATGACTAGTTTTGGTTAGATATAGCTGTTACTAGACTGGTTGTCTTGAACGCTGCTGAAATTCTGTAGAGTTTGTTCCACTGCTTTTAGTGGAATTTAGATTTGTCATAGGTTTGGACTTCTAGTTAAGCTTCACCCTAATTATGCATGTGTGAATCCCCAAGGTTTGATGCCACTCCTGTGGTGCGGAGCCAATGCTTTTAACGTGCCGCATTTGTTAAAGGGCTGCTTTGAAAGTATGAGTTTAAGGCAAACAACTCTTTCACAAAGACTGTAGATAATAATCAGAAAGAACTCTGTAGAGAAGGGTATTACAAAAATAACTACAAATATTAATCTTTTAACTATAGTTGTGGTCAGTTTTGCTGTTCTGGATATAGATGATCTAAATCATCACTTCTAGCCTGTCTTTCCTGTTTATCACTGTTCTCCTTTTCAGTTTCTAGCTCCTTAACCCTCAGAGGCTGCTGCCTCTCCACATCTCTGCTAGCATAACGTGTGCCCTGACCTATTTTGTCAAAATGATCCAAATTAAAAAAAAAAAATCAAACCAAAATCCAAGACTACCAAAAATCTTTACTAGGAAATTGTTGAATTTAATCAGAGTCAGGTTACGTGCAATCAAACCAGAGTAACTCTTCCTATAAAAATACAGGAAGAGTTAAAAAAGGATGATGGCAAGTGACTAGGGACAGTAAAGCTCTCAATCTAGAGCATTTGGTGCATCTGACTGCAGCCTGTAGTTGTTTGTGTGACTGTATACGTATATTATCTCTAGATGATGTAACTAGCCCAAATGAAGAGCCTCCTGTGACAGCCATGACTCTTCCGAGTGAGTCAAGGATAAACATGCATGCCATAACTTCACTAAAATTATTGGAATATAGGTATGTGTTTTGAAATACTATGTATTTCTAAAGCTGTAAGAATATTTTTTTATTTTTGACTTTTATTTATTTTTGACTTTATGATATATACAGACTTTTTGCAACTCTAGCTACACCTGCGCATTTTTCACTTTAACTGGTGTGCTCAAGAATGGGCGGATTTGAGTGGCAATTGGTGTTTCTCCTGCATTTTCATTTCTTTGTCCTATCAGCTATTCCACAGTAACATTTCTTTTAACTCACTTGATTACTTACTGTTTCAGGTGATTTTAGTGCATCTTAAGCGTCTTTAGAAATTATCTTTAAGTCTCAAAACAGCTCATTGCAGGAGGCAAGTATCTCTTCAGTTAATTCTCAATTGAGACCAGCAATGTAACTTGTTAGGTTAGGAAAGGGAAAAGAAAATATTCGATGAGAACTGCCAGGTGAAATGTGCACAGTCATGAACAGAGGTCGTATGTGGAGAGGACCTTATTCTGATGAAAAGGGCTAGAATAGTTTTAGTTGTCACAAATGTTCAGAAGCTCCAAGTTCAGTAGTTACCCGAGTTAAACCATTTCCACACTGCTATGCTGGGGACGTTTTCTAAGTTGAGGGGGGGAAAACTTGTTTAATGATGATCTTGCAACACTTACTGGCCCCTACTGAATTTACGCGTTTTCTGTGATAATGACATAGTTCAGCTTTCACTGATTTTTGTCGAGCTGGACAACAGAGTAGGTTGCCCGCGTGAAATGGTGTTATTGCCCGCATTCCATGTAACGTGGCACAGTGATTCGCGCATTCCATGTAACGTGGCACAGTGATTCGTAGCTTTCTGATTAACGGTTGTTCAAGGGCTTCAAATTGTAGATATTTATATAATATGTATTTTACTGCTCCGATTTTTCTAAAAGATGAAAAGGTCTTGTTATTAAATAGCAAATGATTAACTTGTTCATGCTACTCTGCTAAATGCTTTTCATTGTTTAGTGAGAAGCAGGCAACTGTGATTCCTGATGACATGTTTGATGTAGTCAGAAGCAATCCTGTCACCACTGTCAACTTCAGCAAAAATCAGCTGAATGAAATTCCTGCAAGGTACTAGTTGTTCCATAATAGAGATCATCCTTTGTCTGTTACTTTTTTCTACTTTTGTCCTTGGACATCATGTGTTTTTCTAATCAAATATATTTATACTTTATCCTAATATATTTAGGGGTGTGTGTGTGTGTGTATGTATTTTTTTATATGTATAGTATTTTATATCTATATATGCATTATATATAATTTGTATATATAGGTATGCATTATGTGCTTGTATATATATGTATGCATTATATATATGCATGTATGTATTTTGGAAAGAGGGACATATACAATAAAAGTAAAATTAAGGTGCTGAATAAAGCTTGCACTTCCTAGTATAAGTGGCTTGTGGGTGGGTCCATTGATTTTAACATGGAGGTTAGTTAAAGGAGACTTGTCTGTACTAAGCGGTACTTTGATTACATGTTGCTTTTCATCTTGTTTTGCTAAGCATTGTTGAAACAATGCTTCACATAATAATGAAGTGCTGTACTTAACTACAGTGTAGTATTGTTTATTACTTTCTCTACAGAGTGGTCCTTTTCCTATGTGAAGATAATCTGTGTGTATTCAGTACTTTGTTAGATGATATAGCTATGCTACAGTCAAGGTCCTGTTTAAATTCAATTTCTTCAGATGATGTTTATTTTATTTTATTTTTTTGAAAAAGCAGCATGAGCAATTTCCATGCCTTTTTTTTTTTCTTAATACGTTTGGTGTCCCATCAAGTAGCATTTGATATTATTGTACTTGATTCTTCATCCGTAGTCAAGGAAAAGCTATTTCCTGACACGAATGAGAATAAATAGTCTTTTTGTGTAATGAGAAATGTTGCTGTTTCTCTGGTAGCTTAAGAAAATAATCAGAACTGATTTTTAAGGAAAAAATATTTTAGTATATATTTTATATGTATTTTATATTTTCCCCTAGAAACAAATATTTTCATTCATAGAAGATAAATTTAGTGAGATAATGCTTGTGCCTTCCATGTTTTTTCACATATTTGAGACTGTAGCATTCAGTGGGGAGGAAAGTGTAGATCTGCAGCTGCTAGGTGCAGGAGAATTCTGTGGGAATCCAGATATGAAAGATCAGCATTTAGCTCATTTAATTACCTCTTTTTAAGGCTAAAATGAAGATTCTGTCATAGGGATTCAACAATTAACTTCCTGAACTTCTAAGTACTTTACACTAAAGCATCTCAGTATTTTATCTTTTTATGAGAAACAGCAAATGCAGTGTTTCTGCAATCTGTAATAGCAGAGCAGGTGAATAGAAATGAAAGATGGGAATAAAATGGTAATAAGCTATTTCTGTTTGTTTTGACTATTAAAGAATCACATGGAGTCACATGGATGGATTTTTTTTTGTTAAAATATGTACAGGGCAGGAAGACGACAGTGATGGTCGTTTGTGCCATAGTTTCTGAAATACCTCTGAACTGCATTTAAGTGAAGAGGCTTCCACAGTAAACCTTATTCTCTGAATCAGTGACAGCAGCTTTAGAAAAGTGACTCTGAGCTTTGTCTTTGCACCAAGCATAAAACTCCAGGGCAGGCTGCTTTCACAAGTGTAGTTTCCATTATCTTCACGAAACTGCTTCTGAAACATCACAACAGAATGTCCTCGGTTTGTAAATTTCTAGAATAAAGCAGTTTTTTTTCAGTAACCTAGAAAATATAATGCCAACGTACTTACATAATAAAAGTATATTTGTACTGTGTTACAGGATTGTGGAGCTGAAAGACTCAGTTTGTGATGTCAACCTTGGCTTCAATAAACTCTCATCTATTTCCTTGGAGCTTTGCATGCTTCATAAATTGACACATTTGGATATCAGGTTTGTGTCGTGTGTTGGACTTCCTTTCTGAGTAATTTATTTCCATGCCTTTTTAAACCAGCCATCTGTTACTGCAGTATAGCAGTACTGAAATCATTTTTAATTTCTCTAAATGCCTCCGTGTCAGTTGAATGACTGGCAGATCTGAAATGGCAAGTGGCCTAGATCTAGGCATTGGTTTAACAAAAAGAAGAAAAGAAGTGGACAAGCTCTAAGACTTACTCTGATGAAGAGTCTTGCCCCAGTCATAAGAAGGTCCTCAGAGATGTTAAGTGGAGGTAAAAACAAAAAAAAACAAAAAAAAAAACCAAAAAAAACCACACCCAAACCTGGAGGGTATCCAGGAAGCAATACCAGTGAGAGCAACCCTGGTATGCTGCATGAAGCAGGAGCTATCGATAGGTACTTTTATTTGTAATAGTTTTATTAAGTTCCTCACTGTCACTCCTTTCCCTAACTTCTGAAAAACGTTCATTGCATTCGTTTAGACATCAGGATTCGCTCACTAGCAGTTATTATCTTGGGTGCTTCACAAAATGAAAAGCAGCAAAGCACAGTTGCAAAGACAGGGTTTTTTTTGCTTTGGCTTGGTTTAAATTAAGCTGCCTGTAACATATGTGCTGCTGCTGGAGAAGCTAGGCTGAGGACTGCAGAAATGGTTGGTAGATGAGGTTGATGAGAGGACAAGGCTGAATATCTCAGAGTGAGCAAGAATTTGAGTCCAAGTCTGGGTCTTTTTTAGTGAGTGGTCTTTATTTTCCTGTAACAGCTCTCTTCATGTGCCACACTCAAGAAATGTCTTGTTTGACCTTACAAACTCCTGTCCTCCTTGTATTTAAAAAGTTTCTGAATGTCTTCCTATTGTGGAAAACACCCTGGAAACAGTAGCCGTAAACCAGTTTGTCACAGCAACTGGGTACTAGGCTAAGTGAATTTTCAAGAGGTGCAGAGCTATCCTATTGGTTCAGGTTGGCACCAACATCCAGGCGTTTCGTTAGCTTTCTTCTGAAACCCAGCTAGCTGAGTATGTTTCTGGGACAAAAGGGAGACAGAAGGAACAGAAACTCCTTCAAGGAGAACCATGAGCAAACCAGTAGGGTAGAAGGTTGATAACTAAATGCCTTAAATTATGCTTCTTTTAAACTTGTATTTCTTGAGGAATAAAGGCAAGATTCTGCAATGGGGATGAATTTGTACAGAATTTGTCTGGTGTGTCCTATCTGACAGATGGGGGGGAATACAGGTTCTTTACATGCTATCATGAAGCTGTTTGTTCCTTGTGTTCTTTGATCTCCTAAAGTCCCTTAAGAAGGGGAGGTATCTATATAGCATAATTTATATACAGATGTGGACATATATATGTGGGTGTATACGCATGCTTTACAAAGTATATTTTGAATTTGATGATTAAAAGTTTCATTTCTGTTCATTCTGTATTGAAAATATTGTCAGGCGTGTTTCTGGAGTTGTTACGAAACTTTGAAATATTTGGGTATCTAAATTTAGAGAACAAACTTTTAATCCTACTTACTGGCACAAATCAGAACGCAAACCTAGTTTGCATCAGCAAGCATCCATACTTGAGCATGGTCTTGACCCATTTATGAAGCAATTCATTGGTTTAAGACAGAATGTCAATACTGGTAAATATGCATATTCTTTCACCATGAATTCTTAGTTAACACTTTCTAAAAGTTAATAATTATTGTTTGTCTTCACTTGATACACAGAAATAATTTTTTGACATCTTTACCTGAGGAGATGGAGGCACTGACAAGACTGCAAATAATAAATCTTTCCTTTAATAGGTAAGTAACTCTTTAGACTTTTTATAATATAAAAAGGACTGGGCCAAATTCAATATTCTATTCCTGCGATATAAGAATGAGGACACATTTGATCAAATGTGCGATCAGCTTAAAACAGCTAAAGAGAATGTACTTCCGTGCATGATGTGTAATGTATTTTTGGAACTTGCCGCTGCAAGAAGTTTTGGAAAGAGATAGTACCAACTGGTTCAAAAAGGTATTAAACAGTATTGTCAACAATATATCCAAAAATGGATACCAGCAGGATTGCTTTAACATCTGCAATACTGCAGTCCATTGCCCTCCTGTTTTTCCAGCATCCAGAACTGCTGTAAGTGGTGAGGCTTGAGTGGTCTCCCCGGATGGCATCTCTTACTGCTTTTGTTGTTTACAGTAGTGAGAGACAATTCTGGACTAGAAGGACCGTTGATTTGACTCCGCAGGGTATTTCTTATGTGTACAGCAAAACAATTGGCCATCATTCTCCCTTCTTTACACTACTGAGTCTGTTACTGTCACAGTTTTAAGTTTTGTTTCCGAGCAGTTGGCATGTTCTCCTATTTATGTTGGAGGAAGTAAGTTTTGCTAGAGGAAATACCTTGTGCCTGTGATTTTAGAGGACCTGTGGTTGTTTTTGAGTATATCATATTGACTGAATCTATTGTCTCTGTTTACCCCATTTCCTTTATGGATGCCTTTTGTGAAGTCCTGGTCTTATGGAAGACAATGGGAGTTTTGCCACTAACTTAAGTGAAATTCTGATACCATTTAGATTTTGCCTAGGAATAAGGTTTTCCAAACCTCATCTACCAACTATAACCTACTTTAACCAACTTTTAACTCCTAATGAGTTTGCATCTCTCATCTGTATTAGTCATTTTTTAAATTTAATTAGCTCTTAATACTTACGGGCAAAGCTTAGTGGGGGTAGCTCATTCCTTCAGAAGTCTATGCAGATTACTGGACATAATATGTTTTAAAACATACAGATTACGGTTCCATTCTTCTCAAACAGTAAGAGAGAACAGTTATGCCTGATCTCATGTTCCGTTGCTAATAAATTTCATGCATTTATGAAGATTTTCAACTCTTTTTTTACAGCTCCATTTTAAAAGAAAAGTGTCTCATGTGTCCTTCCTGTTTCTTTCACCAAGCACATATGCCAGGATGCTTAAACATACTTCAAATTACAGCCTTGGCACATCCAGCACTAACATGAACAGTACTTCAGGGATTCTGATGACTGTGATTCAATAAAGAATAAAGACCTTTGCTTTCTTGCCCTATCCGATGGCCAATCGGATGTGAAGTACCCAGACTTCCCTAGGAAATGACAGCGGTACACATTGAACGTGCATTCTTGTGCATGGTACTTGCAACGTGAAAGCTTGTTCAGGCCAGGCCAGACCCAATAAAAGAGTTCCGTGCCTAAAGATCAGGCATGGCAATGTCTGCGTACCGTGACTCTGGTCCTTGGGACTTAAAGGAGAAAATGTATAAAGTCAGTGCATTGAATGGATTCAAAATAGTCATGAGTCAGACTAAACGGCATACAGCTGCTGAGAGTTAAATAAATGGTTAGGATAGTGTGCTTCCTCACTGGGGCTTTGTGGCTTCTTTGGTGCTGCATATATCACATGGAATATGCTCCCCAAAACCCTGTGTTGAAGATAAAGAACAGTTGTTTTTCCTTTGGAGAAACAGTGTAGGGTTTATTCTTATAGAATGAGTCCGGGGGTGAAAAGGAAGGATATTGTGCTAGTGCCAAACGGCCTCCTCCCCCACATACAGTACTAATGTCTCCTAAGCAAGTTGGAAGGGGGACCCATATAAACCAGCCCCACTTTATCAATGATTTATTCTTTTAAAATGCCTAGAAGGCTTATGAACCTCTGAGTCCCCTAGACAGCTGTCCATGTAGGAAGTTCAAGAGCTGAGTTGGGGCTTGTTCAGGCTGAGGGCGCTGAATCCTAAGTCTGCCACTTCCTAGATGAGTGGTCTGAGCTTCTTTAGAAAATGACAGGGACTCCTCCTCCTCTGTTTCTTGTTTAATTATTTTCAAAAAGAAGGTGGTGGGTACAATCTGCTTTGAGAAGGCTGCTCTTAGGTTCTGGATTCAACTTTGGAGGGAGTTTACATGTCTTTTTCTGCAGAAACAAAGTGACAAATGCAGCGAGGTGGCTGAATTCCTGCTTTCCTGAAGTGCCTTTTCAGGCTATTCTTGTCCAGTGAGTCTGGAAAAATGGTCATTAAACGTGTAGAATGAACATGATGAATGACAGCAGGAAAACCTAGCTCAGACCTGTGACGAACTCTGACACATCTATAGTTTTTCCAGCGAGAGAAGATTAACAAAAAAGATTAACAAAATTCTGTAGCGTAAGACTTAACTTCCCTTTCACTAGCCTATCAAGACACATCGAGTGACGCAGAAGCTGCATGTTACTGTTTTTTATGTTTGTGACTCGCAGAAGATCCCTTCTAAGTGCAATGTTGAAGGTGTTTCCTGTATTAATATTCAAAGAGAAAACACTTTTAAAAACTAAAGTCCTATCCTATTTAACGAGAACAAGTTGTCAAATATTTTGTGATTTTTTTTATATTTTTCCCAAACCGTGAGCATACAGCTATGCATTATGATGCAAAGACAGAGGGGAACCTATATATCGTTTGTAAATGAGTGTTTCTGGAATTTTTTGAGTAATACGAGGTAGTGCTTTCGTAGCTAGAGCTCAGAGCTGCAGTACTCAGCTTTTACCTTAAGGAAAATATAGTGCTCAAAAGTTCTCCCTTTTTTTTTTTTTTTTTTTTAATACTACAGAAAGTCCACGTTTTAATACTGGCTGCTTTTTAAACATAAGCACTGGTTACAATGTTCCGATTTCTTCATTTTGAATTTTGGATGCAGTAAATGTTTACAAGAACTACTAGTTGGAAATAGTCCTCCTATTTATTTGTCATTTACGGTTCCATAAAATTAATGCTGCTGGCCTGTAGTTCTCGGTATAGGTGCTGCGTTGTCACTATACCAGTTCTGTCCAGCTTCTTCAGTGTGTGCAGGTAAAACAATCAATGCTTTCTCCTTTCAGAGTGGCATGTTTAAACAAAGAAAAGTTTAAATCAACAGCCCTTATAACAGCCTTCAAAATGAGAGAGGTTTAATTTTTTGAGTGTTGTTTTTCTGACTCTCATTTATTTGCCTTCTTTTTGAAGATTTAAAGTGTTTCCCAGCGTCCTTTATCACCTCCTAACACTGGAGACTATCCTGCTCAGTAACAATCAGGTTGGGTCCGTAGATCCTCTGCAGTTGCAGAAGATGGACAAGCTTGGAACGCTGGACCTGCAGAACAACGACCTTCTCCAGGTGCCACCAGAACTTGGAAACTGTGAAACTCTGAGGTGTGTATTTTAAGCAGTAACTCGTTTGATAAAAATATATTCTGACTCTGCTTTCTTAAAGTAAGAAAAGTAAAGTATTTTGTCAGAGGGAAAAATAAAAATTGGCACGATACCTGTTTGTAGGTCTAAATGCATAAAATGAGTATCTCTTTATCATCTGTAGAGCCATGCAGTTTCTTCCATAGCTTCTCAAGATTTTTAGAGAATTGGCAGAATTCTTTCATGATTTTTGTGAAAAATCTACTCTAATGTAAAAATGCACTTTGAAAGCTGGATGCCCAACCACTTACTTAAATTTAAGTGCTCCCAAAACTAGAATTTAACTGTAAGGGTCAAATTTTGCAAATAGTACAGCTTGAATTTTCAATGTAATGACTGCTATGGGTTTCATAATTTAGCTTCCTCTTAATTTACTTTTTGCTCTCTACTGTAGGAGTTGTTTCACAGGATATGTAGCCCTCAGTATTAAGAATAACTGCCTCTTTTTTGGCCTTTGTTTTCTGGCTCCTTGCCAAGACTGATTTGTTAAAAAGCTAGCAATCTAAATTACTAAATTTTTTAAAGATATTTACACTGAGATTGGCTCAGGAGAAAGTGAAGAATAGAAGTGGTAAAATCTGAAGATGGCACTGTTTTCATTAATAAAGACTAGAAAAGTCATGAGGAACTTGGAGCCTAACAAAATTAGGCAGACATTTATCCCTGGAAGACTGGGTTGTGTGATAGCATTTAATATCTTGAGGTAATCCACATTTGGAAAACAAATCAAACTCCCAGTATTGATTGCTAAGTTTCCAGTGGCTTTGAACACTTGCCTATCTGGGTCTCCTTATCAGCTGTACGTACGCTCACGGTGTACTGGCTCTGGATGAGAAAAGAAAGAAAAATGGTAGCATGCCTAATAAAGTATGCAAAATAAAACAGGAAGGGAACGTTGATATTGTGTAAATTTAATATTACGGTCTAAGCCAGTGACCTTGTCTGCCTTGATTGCTGTTACGAGGATTTTTAACTTGAAATAAGTGGTCTTGTTCAAGTGCTTTTCTGTATGTCCATACGTGCTGCTGGTGTACCTGTAGTCGAGCCTGATCAGCCAGCTGAGCGAGCCGTAGCTCTGTTTGGCAGTGCGTAGGGTTAGCGCCTTACCTGTGTGTGTAACTTGCATGTTTATAAAAAAGAGACAGAGTAACCGTTCTCTCCATAATGACATAATGATGTATAAAGAGATGTGACAGTATCTTTAGATAATACACCTTAAGGAAGACAGTTACACATAACTAATCCATCTTGTCAAAGAAAAGTTAGTGGCTAGTGCGGTTTTCCCCTTTAAAGTACGCTTTCTTGTAATTCTCCTTAAGCATACTTCAGGAGGAGATCTTGGTGCAGAGCTTTAGTGAGACGTTTCGGGTCCCAGGGACACCCACCCCTAAGACCAGCAGTCCAGAGCGGCAGTAGCAGCTCCCAGGGCTCTGGCACAGTTACTCTCGACGTTCCCCTCTTGTCTTTGCTAGTGCTCTGCCAGCCATGTCTTCGCCTACACTTTTTCACCTTGCATTGATTGATTGCTAGCCAAGCTATTTAGCATGTGAGTAATGGCTGGTGTTGTCATTCTGTATACATTTGATCAATTCTTAAGACAATCAATTCTTAAGTCCTGTCTAATGGAGACTGTGATGGGACTGTAGGCATGCGCTCCGTTCTGTGGATTTGCTGATGTAAAAGCGATGACCTTTGGCAGGAAGGCAGAGCACGCAGCTAGCCAGGACGAGGTCTTAGACTGCTGCAGCTGGTCCTCAGTAAACAGAAGTTCGCTGTCTGCCCCCGGGGTTTATTCTGACCTCTTAACATAGGTTAATTTAGAATGACCTTATCCTCAGTGGGATGTTTATGCTCCAGTAGAATTTGTCCCAGTTCATATGGTTAAAAACTAGCTGTTGCACCTTAATTTAGACTTGATAAAAAGGTTAAGTTAGTTCAGCAAAGCAAATATTATAGGTGAATGGGAATCTTAATTTTGAGGGACTTTAAAAAAAACAAACAAACAAACCCCCCCCCCCCCCCCCCAAACACGCAAAAAAACCCAACAGAGGTTTATGTATGCCCAAGAGGAGTAGGCTAGCAGCTGAGCTGGAAAGTGGAGGGTTGTAATTTAACATGTTTTATCCCCTTTTTTGTGTCACGTACGTGTTTCAGAAGCTTTTTCTTGCTCTGTCTTTTGGCAGAGGCTTACTGAAGGAGCAGGGTATGTGTGCATTTTGTATCTACAGTACTATACGACTACAGGTTTATTTGCATAAATTAAAATTCAGATGTCTCTAAGGGAGATAGGCTAGCATGCATTAGGATAGCAGAAGCTAAACTTCTTTTGGAAGAACAGACGAGAAATTACTTAGGAATTTCAAAGGATTCATAAATTGATACATGGTGTATGAATGTGTTGGTACAAGGATAAACCTTTATAAAAATGACTTCAACATCTCTGTTTTTCTAGGACGCTTCTGTTAGAAGGAAATCCATTCCGTATTCCCCGAGCAGCCATTTTGGCAAAGGGAACAGCTGCGGTGCTAGAATATCTAAGAAGCCGAATTCCTACTTAATACAATAGTTTGTTTCCCTGTTAGGCTTGTGAATCAATCTCTTCATCTGGCTGCTGCCATAAAGCATGTATAGTACTGTTAATAGCTTGTATGTTAAAAAGGAACTCACCCATGAAGTGTTTTTCCCCCAAGGTTGCATGTTTCAACATTGTTTTAAAATCCCACAATATATTTGTTTACACTTTTTGTAATAAAGGATGATGTTGAAAGCTGGCTTCCATAATAATGACAGTGTTTTTTCTATAATTAAGCTAATTTTTAAAAGAATTAGAAACACCAAAGTATTTGAGCATAAGGCAGGAATTAACTTTCTGATTTTTGTATGCCTCTTTTATAAATATTTGTTACGTAACCTTCTCTAAAGTTTTTGGTTTCTTAGCTGTTGCCTCAAACAATTTTGAAATTGGATTGCCTCAAACACATTACTGGTCTGTCTGTGATAAAGTGCTTGAAACCTCAAACTGCGTGATTATGGTACAAATACAGTATGAAACGTACTACAAACTGCATGCATGGCTTATGTAAAAGTCATCCAGCTGTGGGTGACGTTGGTGGCTGCACTGAAACAATAAATGTTTCCTGTTGGATGTATGTTTTTTGTTTTGTTGTAATAGTTCAGAATATGCTATAATTAATTTTCCTAGTAATTTTTCTGTCTTTTAGACACTTTTATTTTGTATTTAAACACACTTCTACATCCTGGAAGTGATATCTTAATTAATAAATAGTAACGTTTCACGGATATTAATAATTTAAAAGGAAAAGCTGCTTGATGTTACGTGGTATGTGACTGCAGGCACGCTGCTTCTTGGTGAGACTATCTGAGGCCCATGAATTGGAACTGAAACTGAAGCTGATTCCGTATTGATTTCCGGTTGTAGGTGGTTTGTTTGTTGTTGTTGCTCTGAACCACACTTGATACATCCATATTTCTGTTGAAAACAGTTCACTGCTCTTACAGCTGAACTGTGTGGGTACTGTGGGTGGAGTTCACTGGGCGAAGAGCTACGCCAGGCCTAAAGAGCAGAACTGAGAAGGAAGGTCTGTTTGGCCAGGCAGAAGGCCCTGCCGAGGCGCTGGCGTTGTTTCTGGTACCTGGGCTGTGTCATGTATTTCTTCACTGCGCTGAACTGCCTTGTGCTGCCAGCAAACGAAAATTTAATACTGGCTGCTGGCCAGCACAGCTCGAGACGTCGGGGCGCTGCATGCCTGGTGCTTAGTGGGGTCTAGAAAGTAAGAAATATTTGGGGTTGGGGAGGAAGGAAAAGGGGTAAGGCCCTTTGCCTTACACACGGTAGTGTATTCGTGCAAAAAGAATGACGGTCAGAAGCCCAAGTTGTTCGTGTTTGGGAGTCAAGGGATGCTCTTGGACTACTGAGGTGCTGCTGCTTTCCGAACTCCCCTTGACCCTCCCCTTTGTTTCCCCCTCTCACATGGGACACTAGTACCAGTCCGCAGCGCTAGAGCTGCAAATGCAAAGTTTTCTTCTTCACGTCCTTGCAGTCACCTCATTTTCACGTTTGGTACCAGTTTCACCAGAAGTTACACGCTGAGCAAGTGGAGTTGCTCAGGTTTCAAGACCCCTTCCGACTTACCTGGCAATTGAAACGAGTCTTTCTCTCAAATACTGTTTGTTAGTAGATAGAGCAAATGTTTCTGAAACCGTAACTTAAAAATAAGACAGTGATGATGAAGGTATAATTATCAGATACCTGGAACAGTTTTAGAGCGATGGGTAGATAACAAACGTCTCATTTTTCCATAACTTGCATAACAGAGTTTTTTGGAAATTCAGATCCTTTCCAATAGTAAAAAAATGACAAAAGTTAATTACAATAAGGTGACATTTTATTATTTATACAATAAAGAGACTTTTTAATGTTATTCAAAACACTTTTTAAATACTGAAAAAGTTGGGTACACCAAAGCCGAAAAATGGCTCTGCTATACACTGCACAGCATTGTTTTAGTCCCTGTATTTGTTTTATGTACAGAAGCATCTGCAAAATGCATTCTAAACACAATATGCACCTTACGGAGTAGTGTCATACATGAAATAAAACTGGAAGGATACAACCTGCATGTGCAAATTAACTAACAATATAATTGATTTCACTGAATCAATAGATGTAAAATATAATTTTGAAGTACCTTTTTGCACATAAAATGAAGCAGCTTTCAAGTTCAGTAAGTCCTTATACTGCAAAAAACATTAAGTACATTCACAATCTATGTTAATAAAGTAATAAATATTTCTTCATTCAGCTTTATTTACATTAATACTGTAGTTAAACTGAAAAGTACAGTTAGTCATTTGTAATATAGCAATCTTTTAACACATACAAAAATGACCATTTTCTGTATATAATTTAAGCTCAAAATCACAATTATCTCAAAATATTAATTACAATACAGCCATCTCCATCATAATTAAACATGTCTTTTATAAAATGGTAAAATTTTTAATAAAGTAAGCTGTTGGTTTTGAACTGGATACAGTACTCACAAGTAGAAAACAACGGATAAGAGTGTGTGTTCTGACCAGGGTTTCGGAGTAAAGCCACGTATGCTAGCAAAGAGACAAAAAAGGCCCCAATTTATAAAGATGAAGCCTCTTGTGCTGCAGGGCTGTGGCTTGTTGGTAGTGCTGCAGAAAAAGCCTGACAAGGGCCGTCCAAATTCAGTGTACAATGACATGATGTAGATTCAGTTCTAGAATATCTGCTTCAGTTGTCCATTAGGAGGATTTACAAAGGCTTTTTTTTCTAAGTGGAAACTGTTTAAATGCTGTGATTAGCAACTACTTCTGAAATTTGCTTTTGCAATGAAAATTCACTTGAGCCGATCCAAATTCGAACCGTGTTGTGAAAAGGAGCTCTGGTTTCCTTGCCTGGCCTCTGGGTGCCACTGTTGTGCTGCACACGCGTGGCTCAATGCCACTGCTTACACATGCCAAAACTGAAGTTGTTAAAAAAAAACAAAACCAAACCACCAATTAATTCATATCCTATCCAAACTACTCGCCTGAAAGTTGTATCATTACTTCTGTATTCCACTCGTACTGACAAGACAGTGAAATAAATCCCTAAATGTGATTGGCTGAAAATAAAATCTGACAGCTTTTTACGTGTGCTTGAAATTAAATTTTTGAAGGCAAAGCCTGGGAGAAGAACACTGAAGCAGGCTGGTGAGTGCAGTACCCAACAGTCCGTGGGTGACGAGCTCAAACTTTAGATTTAAATTTTATTTTCATTTGGAAATTCAAAATGTGAAATCCCACCACCAGTTTAGAAGAAAAACTGTCTCACGCTAAGCTAGGTAGCAAAGCCACAGCCTGCGGTTGAGGCTTAAGAGGTTTCCTATGTCTGTTTAAGAATTTTGCAAACTGGTACTTCTGTTAGGTCTTACCTTAGTTTTACAGGGCTTGCCTGGGTACGTGCAAGAGAGGCACATACCGTGGCTGAACGCAGAGCCGAGCGTGCTCGTAAGCTTAACTTTCTTTTAAGAGGATGGGCAGCATACGCAGCAAGCGCTAACCCTAGTCCTGTTACTGGTTACGTTCCCCCGGACTAGATCTGCACAACACCCAACAGTCATGGTATTAATCCCTATGGTGTCTCTTGAGACCAGATCCTGCATGTGAACAGATTAAAAAATATGGTTTGTCATTTAATATTTTCTTTGCATTTACTGTTGCATATATCTGTATCAGATATATATATATATAGATAGATAGATAGATAGATATAATGTACATACACACACACACATATGTATAAATATGTATATTTTTTGATTGCATAAGGTAATTAAAAGGCTGTATTACAAGCCAGAGTGGTTTGACTAAGAAGGAGAGAGACCTTATGTTCAAAGGGCTTGTGACATACACTTACTAGCAATAGCAAATCAATTATCCTGAATGTTTCATAGTCTAATTTTTTTAGTAGAATTTTTGGGTCATGGAGATTAGCAGTTTTTTGTAACATCAGTTATTTAACTTTTCAGATGTAAAAATACCTATATGAGCTAAACATAATTACATAGCCATTACAGCAACTTTGCCAAAGTCTTCTCAATCATGTTCCGAAAAAAAAAAAACCCACCCTATAAAAAAATCAACAGTCTTTAAACCAGAGTACTCTCAATAACCAGCTGGAAATTGTTGTGTGTGTTGTCCCATGGGTGTTCAGCACTCAGCTTTGGGATGGTATTGTCCTTGCCAGTTACCTGCGCTGAGACGCTGTCAAGAAATGGCCTTCCTCAGCCTGCACACGCTGCCATTACCTCAGGGTCTACTGAAGACCCATGAAAGGTGTGTACGGACATGGACATGTTAAAAAAAAATACCTTGGAAAACATCAGAACAGATATGAAGAGGTTAAGTAATTATTCTTGCAAACAACTGGCTTTTAAGACCCTGCTCAAGTCTGCAAACTTTGGATGGGAAAATAATTAAAATATTGAGACGAGCGTCCTGTAGGCTTCCTGCGGTCTTAACGTTTTTCTCAAAATAAGGAAAACGTTTTGGAGGCAGCATTATTCTTATTTTTTACAACTGCCCTCTAACAAGACTGAAAAAAAGAAAACCTGCTCCCAAGAGTCTGGCCACTGGACTTTAGCTACAGCTGGAACTCAACGGAGGAGGCTCTGGAGCCACTTACTTCGATTGGGTTAGGTTGGGTGACACTCACTGTAGTACAGGAATGTCAACTTTGACGCTGACCATTTAGTTCCTTAAAACGCGTTGCAAACTGAGGCTAAAGGATTTACAGTATAGGCTTCCTTTTTCTGACCGAGCCTTTTGAGGAGCAATTAGGTAAGTGTTTATTGCATGAAGAATATGCTGAACAGGCAGAGCTGCACGGTCACCGCTAACAGAACTGCCGCCCTGGGAACCGCTGCGTTACAGCTAAAAGCCAACAGGACGCTAGGCCTGAGGAGGGCAGCGGGTCCGGTGGCACTTTGGACTTTCTGACAGAGTTTCTAACACAGCATGTTTCAGTCATTATTAAAATCTCCTTTAGTAGCTTTAAAAAAACAGTGGCTGTGGGACAACATACGGTATAACTGGGAGTATTATATAGCCTAGAGAAAGGAAACTGTGTGTAATTTTGAGCCTGTGCTTGCCTGGATCAAAATTCACTCACAAACATGAAACTAAACCTGCATATGGCATTCACCCAGGGTAAAAATGTCCTCTACATACTACTCGTCTACCACCAGCATTTGTCCTAGACTCAGCTTTAGCGGGACAGCTGAGCCAAGGCCGGTGCATATGTGGCAGCCTCCCTGCAACCCTTGCTGGGCGTTTACTGTGCACGCAAGGCCGCTGGAGGCCTCCCGGGAAAGGCAAAAGGTGCCAGTTATTTTGAAGGACTAATGTAAAATCCTCAACAGTCCTGTTAAAGTACCTCTTAACTGCGCGTACTATTAGCACATTAGCCTGTGCGCACGCATGTGGATTCACATTTTTAAGGGTGATTCTTCTGCATGGGAAGACAGACAGAAGCTGTTCTGGAGAGGAATTTGGGGGCATCAATGCCTATTAAGGGACCTAAATTCTCATTTAACTTAATTAACTAAAAACTCTGTAAGTGTCTGCAAGTCTTTTTTTTTTTGAACATGATACTGAATAAACACTTTTTCTAAAGGGCAGCGAGGACTTACGAATGGAAGCTGTGGCCCCCGAAATGCCCTGAATGTTCAAAACTATTTAGAGAGGGGCTCTGCCAGAAAATCCATGATTTGAGGGCTTCTGCTCGGCCAGTACCTTGTGAAATTACATCCTTAAAAACCTGGAAAACTGGAGAACTAATGACCCTCGACCAAATCAAGTGAATTTAGCAAGCTGTTTCAGCTTGGACTATCAAGGAGATTTTAAGCTACTGGACTGTATTCATTATTTAAATTTATTTTCTGAATAGCATCAAATCATTTATTTAAATTGTAAATTTTAGAATTAGCATTAGTTACGGCTAACTATGTTGTCTGGGGTTGTTTGGACACTCAGGTGGTACCACAGCACTTCCAGTAAGAATACTTGCATGCATAAAGGACAATTCACATTACATGAGAACCTGCTCAGTCAACATGGCGTTTATGTTTCATTAATATTTACCCTAATGAACTTAATCATTCATGTTGATTGACTGGGGAAAAAAGGGAGCTGCAAACAACCCCAGAACAGGAACCGTGCATACACATTTGTTCTGTGTTCATGTTCTGAGTGATTGCTAAATCCCTTTGTGGGGCTGAGCCGAGGCCGCAGGTTGTATCCTTCTGCGCTTACCCACCGCGCTGGCTTCCAGGCCTCCGCGCAGCTGTCAGCAGAGCAGAACTTTTTCTATTTTTTTTTTGGGGGGGGGGGGGGGAAATCCAAACGATTAAAAAGTTGATGCTTCAAAAATATCATTGGAGGCTAGTTTCTACTTTAGCTAGCGAATGACTGATTTGTAAGATCAATTTGTACGTATGGGGCTCTTTAGCCCTCCCTTTCTGCGTACGGAGATGTCGTCCTAATACCACCCTTTCCTTCCTAGGCTTAGCAGGTCTCGCCTTGAATGTCCAGGTTTCCTTCCTAGGCTTAGCAAGTCTCGCCTTGAATGTCCAGGCACGGCCAGACTGAGAGGATTTAGACAGGGGAAAAAAAAAAAAAAATCCTGCGCCAACACGGGGAAGCACGAGTGCATTTTGGTTAAGAGCAGCCTGGGGCAGGGAGGGCAAGTTATACATTTTTCCTTCCACCTGCCGCCGAGGATGAGCGCGCCGGGCCCCTTGCTGCCGAGCTGGTTTCTAACAGCAGCCAGATGCGAATGCCTCCAGAAAAGTGTATGAAAAGAGCAAGGATTTGGGCTCCCCTGGTCGGGTCCTCCCTCTCTCTCGCCTCCCCACCCGCAGGCATTTGCAGCGCAGGGACTCGGGCCAAAGCCGTTACTACGTGTTCAAGATCCGCGGCAGATTCCTCGGCCATGAGTTTGCCCAGTTCCCCTTTGGACCTGATGCAAACCGCTAGCGTCCGAAGCAGCCTGTGCAGGCACTCCAAGTATTCGTGTCTTTTACTAACGTAAGGAAAAAAAATCGAAATGCCAGAGACATGCTGCCAGCATCTTTTATAGCTCCTATCCTTCTACCTGCCATAAACAGGGCTGTAGCAAAATTTCACCGGGATATTTATACCTGTATGAGAGGACTACAGGGCATTATATACAATGGAGTCATGTTAGTTTAATTTGAAACATAATTACCTCAGGCAGGATGCCTTTGATGGGAAGAGAAGAAAGTTTTAAAAATTTCTAGCAGCGCCTATAAGCAGAAGAGTAAAACGTTCTTGGCCGTGTCCACGTGACATAGCTACATTCATCTGACCTGGGTTTTAAAGTGTGCGCTAATCCCTCTGAAAAAAGCGTGACTGAGGCTGGCCCCAGCGAGGTCCCTCGCGGGGAGCAGCTTATTGCTGTCCCTGGCGTCCACTGCCACTGGAGCCAGCGGAAACAGGAACCTGTGAAAAAATCTTGTGGGAGGTTGTCTCGCTTTTTTCCTTCTTGCTGTCAGTTATAAACACGATCTCCACTCGCATTACTGAACCAACAACAGTTCAGCAAAATTTTGTGCCATCAGTATTCTTCTCCGCTAAAAACAGCACCAGGATTTTTTACCTCAAGGTTTTAAAAGCGCATACTGCAGTGGGACAGCTCGGCACGCGCTCTCTCTGTGTCAGTCTTTTGTTCCCCTCCCCGTGCCGCGTTGTAGCTTAGATTAAACCTCTTCCCATTCATTTTAATGAGACCGTCACTCGGAGAAATGGCTGTTATAAACACCAAAGCCTTACCCACAGTGAATGTAGTGAGCAGGGGCCAACGCAGCCTGGACCAGAATAAAAACACTGAACGTTGCAAGGCTGGGAGAATGGAAAATGTAAGTAAAGGGCCTATAATTGCAGATTAAAAAGCCAAAAAAAAAAAATTAGCAACAACAAAGTAAGTTTTCCTGCCACCCACTACATACTTCTTCCTTCCGTTTATGAACTGCATCTAGCTGAACTCACTGTTTGCATTTAACATGTTCACATGGAATCAACTAAAAGTATCAGACAAAAGTAAGTTAACGAATTTTCATAGAGCTTGTTTATATTTAGGTCCCAGAGTTGACAGTATAATTTATTAAGTATCTCACCCTGTATAGTGACATTTTAACTAATTAGTATGGAACCAGCTATACACACTGCATATGTACAGTTATTTTCATAAGGCATATAATATCTTTGCATTGAAAATAAATCAACATCATTAAATTTAATTTAATATATACTTTCTTTGAGGTGTTTATGAAAATATTTTTCTCTATATTTTTGTATGTGACATGATAGAAATATTTCATGGGAATTACAGCTTAATATATTTTATCTTTATAAAGGCATATACAACTTTGAGGCAGTGTTTCTGATGGACAGCAGAATTCCTAAAGAATTTGTATGTGCTTCTGTGTTTTGAAATTATATGAAATTGACTTTAAGAAGTAACTTGATTAAAAAAACGCACCAATGCACAGCCAGAGGCTGACAATTAAAACTAATACATAGCCACATGAACAATAATTTATATAGTTAATATTTTTTTTCAAGATGATCAGTACTAACATATAGTATTATACATTTGGCACTACTGTTTGCCATTGGTCCAGCAATTGGCAAAAATTTGTTTCCTATGTATAAATCTGTTTGAACATTAGATCTGGCTAGACATATTTACTATTTATAAAAAAATATTTAGACAGTAAGCTCACGCTGAATAACTAGGTCTACTGTATTCTGGAAACTCTTCAGTAGTAGTACAGCTTTCTCATGTTCCATATGTACAAAACTGTGTCCGTTTGCCTGTAACACAAAAACAAGAAGAAAAAATCAGATGAGATTCTACTTAATACCTTCATTTTGAGGGGCGCAAAGGGATATATGAAAACGGAAGTCAAAGGATCATGATGTGTTAAAAAAGAAAAAGAACATAGCAGTATTTTTGACTAGTTAAACTCTGTGGAAATGCAGTGCCATATCTTGAACAACATTAGTCTGAACTAAATCCTAGTCATGCAATGATTTCCTGCAGTCAGTCAGAGCTTCTGACTGGGCCATTAAGAGTGCACACGTCTTTCCTCCTCCATTGCATAGATACCGTAGCACACAGCATATACAAAGCCAGGGAATAAGACAATTTGTTCCAGAGATTTTTAAGGAAGGCAAAAACAATATAGTTGAAAACACATACGTTATGACCGTCATCACTCAAGAAAAAGTAGCAAATGTACGTGGCATGTTTTAAAGACATCCAGAGGCCCTCTGCTTCGAGGAGACGGCAGGCTGAAGAGCGCGCTCTAACAGGACAAGAGGCAATGGACACAACTTGGAAAATGGGAACTTCTGGTTTTGCGTAAGGAAATTCATTTTTACTGTGAGGGTGGTCGAATACCGGCACAGGCTGCTCAGAGAGGCTGTGCAAGCTCCATCCTCGGAGGTGCTCAACTCGCACCTGCCCAACCTGATTAGTCCTGCTCTGAGCAGGGGCTCGGCTAGACGCTCTCCGGGCGGCCTTTCCAGCCTAAATTATTCTATGATAGTCCACCTAGCTGTGGAAGACACAGTAACTCTGGGACAGAGGTCGAACATTGTGACGCTCAAAGCAAGCTAATGCTTCCCAATGCGCAGGGACCCTGACTGCAAAGGCAGACACAGGCTGAGCTCACGTGCAGCTATGCTGCATACACAAGGAGGGAAGATTTTACCGAATGAACTATTCTGCTTTAGTGCTGATTAAAATCTTTCTGCATCATCTTCTCTGTTACAAAGCTATTTAGACATCATAACTGATACAGCTAAAAACGCCTTTTTGAGAAGCACAAATAGTATAATTTTAGCCAGAATGCCTGTATATCACCACCCAAGGGTGACCACAGACTCCCAGCAGTGGCCTGAATCAACCAAAGTCTCAGATCCACCAACATACAGGCGTAACGGCCAGGCCTTGGAAGTGCTTAGATACTGAACCAAGGGAATGAGGAGTGCTACATACACCTGCCACTCAAGCATCTATGAAAGCCTCAAAATTACCACTTAGGTGCTGCCTAATTCCTGAGACCCCAGCAGAGTCCTGTAACTTCCTTTCCCTGGGGAGCCCATAATATAAAATATTTTTGTACTGAGAAACAGGAATACAAATTTCAGGCAGAAACAATTTTCAGAGAAGACATTCATTCATGTGCCAACATTAGGAGGTTGTTCTGTTTGAGGTCAGCGTGAACTCTGATGCAGTTCAGAGAGAAACAGAAGAATAATCTTTTCACCATACAGCTAGCTAACTGGCAACTGGCAGCTCTGTCATTTATTCAGCAAAAAAAAGAAAAGGAACCCAAAACTAAAACTCAGGCCACATCAGTTCTGGCTACTCCCCTTTTCATTTTCAAGTAGTGCAATGAGTGGTACGAGAAGATACTGGCTGTAGGTTCCGGGCTAGCTGGTGAGGAAACCTCTTGTCCATCCAGAGACTTTCTCAGCAGAATCGGGATGGAGGGGTTATACTTCCAGAGATACCCAGGCATCTCTGGATACAGCCAGAGGGTTTTGTTATTTAACATATAAATAAATGACAATCAGGAATCTTCCACTGCTTTCATTCAATGTGTGGTTTCACATTCCCCATAAAACATGCTATGAAATCAGTATAAATACTTACACATTGAATAATTATTTAATTATTAGAAGTATGTTTTTTCCTTTGTCCTTTCCTGCTATAATTTTGAATTCAGATGTTTCTTGCAACTTCAGAGCTTAGAGGAAAGACTTCCCTTTTCAGACGAAGGGGACCATGTGATTCTGAGTTTTATTTCCAAAGCAGCCAAGGAGGAGGCAGTTAGCCCAGCTAATCTTACCAGGAACAGGCATCTGGAAAGAAGCCAGTCTGCTAATACAGCCTGCCTTGTCATAGATATAATGTTGATAAATTTATCAAGCTCAGTGTTAAAACTAATTCTGTTCCTATTATTGAAAAGCTGTTCCAGATTACAATTCCTCTACTGTTCAGAAGAGAAACTTTTCCTTTTATTTTTCTGCCTGAAATTTATTCATTTTAAATTAGGAAAAAGGCAGGTCCGAGCACAAAAAGACAAATTTAGTTTATTCTCTATTCCAGTCTATTCTCCGTTCCCTTCATCTGGATGCTGGTATACTTGGCACTAGCACTGAAGAGATGTTCTGATTTAGCGTTGTGAAAACTGATACAGACCTATAGTCCTCTTAACGACTATAGTGGAGAAGCACTGAATAGGAATGAAAATCTCTCAGGAATTCATAGTACTTCAAAGTGTTTGACTTTCTTGCATCTTTGGCCACGGTTTGTCTTGAGACATTTATAGCTTCATGACCGGCTCTGGAAATTTGCTATCATTTCCTTACCAAAATTTAAATGCCAACCTGTTAAAAGATAACATGAAATGTTCTGAAAGGAAACAGGCAGGTTGCCCTGATTAAACTCAGGATGTTGCAGCAAATTTTCCACAAATCCATGAGCAGCAAGCTTAGTGATCACACTGTAGACAGCAGTTTTGCCCTGTAGTGGGTAACTAATGGGGATGAGGTTTGCAAATGTCCCGACACCACATGTCTACTCTGCCTTTGAGAGACGTTATATTGCATATCCGTTTTTTCTCCATACTCTGAAAAAACACCAGGGTGAAAAGCAACCCTCTTCCTGCTGCTGTGCCTGCTGAGCAAAATGGGGATATCCGCAGTGCTGAAGGAGCCAGGACCTCACCAGCGCCGTGGGCTGCTGGTGCTCAGCTTTACTGTTGGGAAAACCCTGAGGAGAAAGCCCGAGATCCTGCTGGGACTCAGCCCAGCTGCAGCGCACGAATGCAGGGAAGCAGTAGCAGCTTAAGTTGGGGAAAAAAAACCTCTCAAGGCAGTCTACCTCGAGGCCTCCGACCGCAGCGGCAGCCCTGGGAGAGCCTGTCGAACCAGGCCAATCACCGCTCAAGCCCTCTGAGAACTTTCTTCTAGATTTCACCCAACAGTTTTGAATGCCAGAAATGCAGGAGTTGGGCAGCATTTGCAACTGACCCTATCCAGAATTGTTAATGAGGAAATACGAACTAAGTACATCACGGACAGGCTGTGATGTAGTGGCAGATCCTTTAGGATCAAAGTGCTTTAATGAAGCAGCAAGATTGTCCTATATGTCACAAGCCAAGGGAAGACCCTTCTCCTGGCTGGATACAGGCCCCGGTTGTGTTTCACCGGATTTGTAAGGACCAGCATGCATTCATTCCTGAGGACACACACTAGTCTTCTAGCAGAACAAGGCAATGGGTAAGACTGCGTGCCTGAGAATTATGGTTTCTCACTTAGTTAGGTAAGTTTACCCACGGAAAATAAAGCCTTTCAATTTTTAAAGCAGCCCTCCCTTTTAACCAAAACTGCTTGGGAGACACATAAACACATGACAGAAACATTACTGTTCCTCTTGAAAACATCCTGCTAAACAAATTCTTCAGTGTAAATGTTCAAAAAATTTCCCCTTGGAGCTTTGGCCTGATATTATTCTTACTGTATATCACCTTCTTGAATAAACTGAATTTATCGCATGTGAATGCAAAGACACTTAGATGCCCCAGTAATGGTGACACGGGGGTTACCTAACATGATAATAAATAAAAAGAAGCCAGCCAATAACACCGGGAAGAAAAGCATCAGATGATAGATAGACACGCTATAAGTGCAAGTCTGTAGCACAGATGTAGAGGACCAGTAAAGCCCGATCAGCAGGGCAGGTGGTGTGAAGACAGCGTGGGACAGGGCTGAGGAGACCTAGGAAGACAGCTCCTCCACCAGAACCCCAGCAGAGACTGAAGTCACAAAAAAACATGCCTGTGGAAAGAGTAGGAAGTGCAGACAGCTATAAAACCAAAGAATAAAGATTATGGAAGAAGAGGAACCTGTCCCTAATCTCTGAAGCTGTTTATATAGTGATGAATATTATAAAGCCCTGATCACAGATAAGGTTATCATCTCATAATATAAATGCAAACAGAGGAGAAAATGGGGATGAAGAAAGATCAAGTGAAGCTAGTGAGCATTAACACTCCTAAGTTCTTAGCGCCTAGGGAACTGGATGGTTTTAGCTAAAGACATTGCTTATATTTAAGAAATAAAATAACCTTCATCCCTTCATCCCTGCTTTTCTCCGCTGTTAATTCCTTCATGAAATTTATGACTTTTCTTTTCATTTGCCACAGTATAAACCAATACCTGATAACAGGCATTACATGTAGGTATTACATGTAAGTAATTGTAAATAAAAGCAAAATGTTCTTGATGGAGAATCTGAAACAACGTACTGACAGTGACAACGGAGGAACTCTACCGAGACTGGTCTGCGGTTCGGTGAGAATGACTGAGTGAGCAAAGGGCCCTGCAATCACAGAGAGCTTTTCCAAAGCACAGATCTATGCAAACATAATGTGGTTTGGAGAGGGTGGAAGTTGGAGTCTGCCATCTCTGAAGGTCAGCCAGCAGGACTGAGTCCATCAGTACCGGCGCACCAAACCTAGAGAAGGATTGTTTTAAATGATTTCTGACTCCTCTGGAGGGAACAGGACGAGACCTGTGACTTGGAGTCTGCTCACGCTGCTACTCAGCATCACCTCTCAGATTTGGCAGTTGTAGTTCAAACTTTACACAGGGTTCAAGCCCTCAGATAGTTTCTTCCTAACTTATGTATTTGCTGTATTTTCCATATACATATGTAGACAAACCTCAAAATGATGAACGTGTAGTTCAAAGGCTGAAGCAAAACAGACATAATACGTTAATTGTCTATTGCTTCTGCCTCTGTAAAGGTGGCTCTTAAATGTAAAACTAATCAAGGGCAAACATACTATGAAAGAAACCGTGGTATATATTGTTAATCCCATTTTTGTTCCCTATCACACCCTACTGAAGAAGTTTTTAAGTCAGGAAGTAAATCTGATTCTGAGAACACTGTTACTAAGCAGGTACAAGTTTAGGAATATGTAAGTGGGTTGCATGAATCACTATGCATTAATTTGCAAGGCAGTCAGTGCATTATTTTCTTCCACGTTTTTTGACTCATTATAAATTTGAATAACTAAAATTTACAGTCAGGTTTTGGAAGGCTACATATATTAAACACACTTCAATCGTGGAAAATTCTGAAGTCATAGATTCTATTCCTTTGAATTACTTTGGACAATATTTTTATTAAGTTATTTTGCCTTGCAAGCCAAATGAAGGACAAGTCTAGCATCACTGGTGTGGGCTCATTTTAATAACATTTAAGCAGAGGGTGCGGTATAAAGTGAATTTCTGATAAAATTTCCTAATTTCTATCTATAACAATGGTTGCAATCAATTTATGAAACTCACTGAAAACAGTGGAAAATAAAACATTCAGCAAACTTCACCTACATAACGTGACGACAAAATGAGCAGAGTAAAATTTCTGCTACCTACACAATACAGCAGTACCTTAAAGGCGATCACATAAATATAGCTAAAAGGTCCTATTTTAGGAGCACAAGCTGAAACACGGGAAATTCCAACTAGATGTAAGGAACACTGTTTTCCCCATGAGGGGGTCAAACACTGGAGCAGGGGCCCAGAGTGGCTGTGGGATCTCTGTCCCTGGAGATGTGCAAAACTTGATTGGACAAGGTCCCGGGCAAGCTGCTCTAGTTGGACCTGTTTGGAGCGGGTGTTTGGGCTAGCACGGTTCAGAGCTCCTTTCCAACCCGAATTACTCTGTGATTCTTTGCTCCTCCTTAGGTCAGCTGGAACTGGTACCATGGATGAATTAGTACCAATACGGCCTCATCTAGCTCTTCAAATACACATAGATCTTCAAATACAAAACAGGGCAGGAAAAACTGCTTTCATTTATTGTCAAGCTATACGTTAATGATATATGGATATTAAATCATATATTCACAGAGAAAAGTTCTGAAAAAAGAACAGCGGAAAGAATGCAATGCTTTCCAACAAACAAATCCAATGGCACGTAACAGTAGGAGAAGATGTGTATGTACGTAGCTCGTTTCTACGTTTGCTTTTTAGTAACTTTAAGCACTGTTAAGAGTGAATGGTCATAAAGAGACTAAAATCTGTGTGTGAAGGGGAAGGCGTGGGTGTGACTGCATGGCCTCTCTCTTTTCCTCTGCCTTTGATTTGTTTTTGGAACTTGTGCAACAGGCTGATTCAGACCAGGCTTGGCCTCTCTGAGACCAAGGTTTTCCTCCGTCTGATGCCTGCTCAGATCTGACAGGCTTAGATGAATATGTCAGCATAACCCTCACAGCCAGCTGGATGCTTGGAAACTCTTCTGAAAGTGCTTTTACTCTCAACTGAAGAGAGCATCCTTTGCATTCTGAACTTAAAGGAAACAACAAATTATGATTAATATGCAAGATAATTCCAATATTGAAGTACCTCGTTCAGAGCAGAATAGCTCAACATATTTCAAAGCAATTTTATAGACACGATGCTTTTTCAGGCATAGTTTTAGATGCTCAGTTACTGCTAAAATTCTTAACTGTGTCAAACACGATTTGAGGCAAAACAATTAATTTACTGCATTTACTGATTCACAAATACTTTAGACAATGAATCTATTGATTTATTTCAAAATAATTTTAAAATCACTATTCTGACTATAAGATTCAAGTGCACAAAAGGAATTTTATAAAATTGGACTTCTGTGTAATTTTCCTTTCCCTGATGAGATATAACAACTTGCATCTGTACGAAGGCAAAGAGGCTGCAAAGAGGCTGCAAGCTCACGTAGACACACGAGCTGGGATCGCTCACCCTGCACATCGTTAAACTGCAGGAGAATTTCTAGGATTCCTCTACAACTCCACGAGTCTTCGGAGGGGCTGTACAGACACAGCCCTCCTTTGTTAACTATTTAACTTTGTTGATTTAGTTCGCTAAAATAAGACACTGCACTCGTTCGTTCTGCCTCTGCAGCCGGTGTTGTGGTGTAACAGCACGCTGGCCAGGGGCAAACTAGCTTTGGGCTGCACCACGAACCGTGCTGCTAGGCCTCGTGCCCTGACGGCGTGATGACTATTTCCCTCTAGTCCGTTTCCTTCTGGACAATAATGTGACCACGTGAATGTCATGTCTGTCTCCAGCTAAGAGCCAAATTATAAGAAGTATAATAAATAAGGTTAGTAGGTAAACCAACTGTGTTGTTTTTCAGTAGGAGCAGCAAGCATGGCATTAGAGAAGCCGAATGCAGTTCCAAAACTTTCAGGTAAAATAACACTTAATTTAATTGACTCCTATGTTGAATGAACAGCTTTTGGGTTCCCTTTATTTAATTTTATCATCAAAATACTGTTTCTTACTATGCAAAAGAAAGACTGAAAACTAGGTAAACGGAAAAAATCAAAATAATTTGATATGGAAAACATGAGTTATTGTTCAAATGTTTATACTGTTTTGCAGCTTGTATTCCTTTCTATCCCCATTTATATACTTGTTCTGAATATAAATAACAGTAGGTCAAACTGGTAATAAAAACATACCAAGGTATTGTATATCATGAGGCCCAGAAAGCTACTGCATTTCTGCTGTTACTAGGTTAGACGTCAGGGAGTACAAGGGAAGTTATTACAGGGATGACACGTGCTAATGGTGCTGTTAAGAGGAAATCATCATTAATGCTCTGCATTGGGAGTGCTTCTCAGTAAGTGCCCTCTGGTATGACATCAGGAGAAATCATTAGACATAGCTGCAGCCATAAAATAAATGCAGGTCAAAAGTGTGCATCTTTGATAACAACATGATAGGTACAGACATACAATGGACCTGTTCTTGTGTAGAGCAATATAAACCTCAGTTAACTCCATGAAGAATATTTGTACAGTGTATGCCCATTGCTTGCCACTGCAGACAACGCCTGACCATATTTTGCTTTTATTTTAACATATGTGGCTCTTACCTATTTTTGTTTCCAATACTAAATCCAGTTTTCCATATAACATCTTGATTATTCTAAATATCTCTAGCCAACTTTGCACTTCAATAAGTTTGGCTGTTCTCTTTATTTCACTGTGTTTTGAACATACTAGCAATGAAACATCAGTTGTCTATTGCAGACTTTAGAGTGGATAAAATAATTTCAGAGAGAAATATCTTAACGCAAATAGACTGAGAGAAATCAAGGACTACTACAAACAAGCCCAACAGAATATTTGCTGGTGGGAGACAGGCTACAACCACTGAAGTGTCGGAGAGGTAGGAGAGGGAGAGGAAGCGGGGGAGAGGCAGAGGGAGGGAGCCTACCGCAGAGGTTTGCAGACACCCTTGGTATGCTGATTTCCTTCATGTAACTGATTAAACAAGTCACCCTTCAACCCTTGATCAGTCTGCACGGCTTTAAAAACTGTTATAAGCCTTTCAGATAACTGTAATGACTCTCTTCCTTTTGTCGAAACTAATACTATTTGTTGCCAGTGGGAATACATTTTCTAGGCTCAAAAATATCTTGCAAGATATGGCAGAAAACCCTTCCTTGTATGACAGCCATTATTTTCTGTGAATGGGGAATTTTTGAAAGGTGTGTTCCGGAACGGCTTTTCCTTCTTCTATCTGGATCAGAACCCAAGACTTCTATTTAAAAAGTTCACTTGAATACAAAAAATATTTGTTTCAGAAACGTGAAAGAAAACAAAAAGCTAAGATTTCTCAGTAAGTTATTCAAGTGCTTCTGTGATCCAGTGGAAGGGATATCTTTCATGTGACAACATTCAAAAATGGTCAGGTAGTGAAGAAGAGGCAAAAATAATGCAAGCCACATTTCTCTGTGAAAACGTGAATGCCTAGTTAGTTCCTTACACTGGTGTCACATCAGCTGCAAAGGTGAAAATTATAAACACCTCTTGCTTTGTCATGCGCTCGTGCTTGTGAAACAGCCTGTGAAACTCCATTCTCCCTGTCCTTTCTTGTGCTGTTAGCGTGGAAAAGATGGATATGCTGCAAAGAACACTTTTATTTCAGAGTTTAAGTATATGATTGTGTCACTTGGATCATTCCTGTGACAGATTTTAAGCAGCAACCATTCTTTGCAGTGCCATTCCCTCGCAGAAGGGTGGTGCTGGCATGAAGTGTACTTCCCCCTGTGCCTTAGTCAGCATCCATGGGGAGGGAGCAGAAACTACTAAGCAAAATTTGGGATAGTTTGACTCCGTGCTGTGTTATGCCCCCTCTGCTCTTAGCATGTTCTCCGGGTTTAACTCAGTTTCCAGCTGGTGGGGCTGGTTGTCAGACAGCACACCCCTGTGCCTCCTTTTCCATGCCCCATTTTGTTCTCAAACAAACAGCTTTATTCCTTTCTTCTGAGACCAGCTTTCAAAAGTACTACAACTAAAACCCTGTTTTAAATCAGTATCCAAATAAAGTACCATAATAACATAAACAGTAGTTAGCTTGTACTGAAAACAATATCACTACTTCTAAGATGCAAAGATTTGCTTTATAACTCCATCCAATTAAGAAACAGTTAAATTGATCCATACCTTGAGGATCTTATCGCCAGGCTGGAGCAGGCTGGATGCTGGTCCGTCAGGCTGAACCCTAGTAACAAAGATACCCTATAAGTCAGAAGTAACAGAGGTTAGGATGCTATCACCAAGAACTAGTTCCCAAAATACAGGTGTCCCCCTACTTGCTGGTCAGGAGGCTTTGTATCTGGTAACGTGCTAAACACTAATCGATTTTTTAAATCCGTAAGTAGCCAAACAGCAGCACCAGTTGGTAGAAGCTCTCCATGACCTTTAGCTAGTTATCATCTCCAGATAAAAATATAGTTGTGGTTCACTTGAAACTAAGATCCCATTTCACAAACTAATGTGTAATTTGAACAGTTCTGGCAACTAGAAACTAGGCAAGAGAAACATGGCTATCAGGAGGAAAAGGAAAATGGGGCAAGCATTCATTAATTACAGTAATCCATGCCATAATCTATACAGTAATCTTTGTTTACTTCCTCTTGAAAAAAAGTGTATATTCTGAAAAGCAGACTTTCTGAGATTCAGTCTCTAAGATCTTTTAATCCTGTGTCTGGGGAGTAAATAACTTTAAAAGGAAACAAATTATTACATGAAAGAGAATATATTTTAAATCCATTTTTTAAATCTATTTTTTTCAGTACAATGTGTTAATAAAACGTAAAAACAGGGATTGAGTTTCTGAGCGAGGAAACACTTCTGTACAGCTCTTGTCCTGTACTTTTGCTTCCTTAGCCTCACCTTCCCTGCTGTCCTTAACCCTGCTGCTCAAGGTGAATACCTTGGGCATAGGCTCGATTTTAGTCATTCACATTGGTCATATTGACATTAGTGAAATTCACTGGTCATGCAAGTCACGTGCATCTCTGAAGAATTTTATAGCCTTCCTGAGCAGGGTATAGGCTGGTATTCCTATCAACCTTATAGAAACCTGAGCTCTTTGGGAGCAGAAGGATGGGGCCCTGTCCTGCTTACATTTGGTCCATAGGCCATTAACTTGTGACAGAAGTTTGCCATTCAAAATGACTGGCTATTTCTGTGCTTTCTGTCCCTTCCTCCCTCTTATCCCAGTCTCCTCACTTTATGTCATGGTAGGGGCACACTAGTATGCAGATACATACTGCCAGGTCCACTGATCTCATCCGATAGACCGTTTGCATGATTTAAAACCACTAAAAACGACTGGCGTGTCTGATGAGAGACAGGATCACCCTCCTATGGCTTTTGTGATATTTAAAACAAGATAAAACTGAGGCAACAGTGTGGGAAGAAACACTGCAGAGTAGTAATACAGAAAAAAACTTTAAACTATTAATTCCTTCAGTAAAGCTACCCTAACACTCCCTTAGTACACAATTTACAGAAATAAGTTTTCGCATTTCTCCTATTAGCAAAATTAAGTCTATCTAAAGCTGCTTTCACATTGCATGTATTACTCGTAGATACATTCCCAGTTGACTATAGTTTCTTTGTAAATAAATTCACAAAATGGAAGTATAGCTTCTTATAAAATTATACATCAACTTAAGAATAAAGGACATGATGTTATAAAGTATATTAGAAAGAGAACACTCATCAGTATGCATCCTCAAGGAAGGACAACAAAAATGATTATGTTTTGAAGGCTAGTCATTAAAAAGTCTGATGGGTATATAAAATTAACTATTCTTGAAGCTCAAAACAGGGATTTATCAACCAAAAAAAAAAATCGAAAGAAATTAAATCATGCTAGATGGGCATTTCCAAGAGTATTCCAGATTTCCAATTAGCTGCTTTTTTTGTAATTAGAGTAGTGAGGAAATTTGTCTAAAGCTGCATGCAGATCTCAAATTGTCCATGAGAGATGAAAAAAATAGTTTAAATTTCATGACTTTCAAAACAGTCTCAATAGTTATGGAAGTTACGACTACCTTTTAGAACTAGATCTAACATTATCAAAGAATGTAAAATAGAAGAATATACTTAATTGAGAGGTATCCATAGTCTTTGTTTTGCAACAAACTCCAGTTAGTTTTACTGCACAGATCAGGTGAATTCACAGTTCTAAAAGTGCATTTTCTAACCCTAGAACTCTGTGTAGTTGATAATCACCAGATGTTATATTTGTTAGTCATCCTTTTACTGGCTAAAGCGATTTATCAACCTCTTAAATGTGCAATTCCCAATTCCTGCACCAGTAATAATACTCTGAAAGTTTCCCTGACCACCATGCAGCATAATGGTCCAATTTTTCATTAACATTACAGAACATGACACAGCTTCACAGTCCGGCTATAGCCTGCTTACCATGATGTTGTATGCCGCCAATGACATCCAGACCAGCTTGCAGGCCAGGCCTATTTCATTTGATACAGCTGGTGTAAACCTTGGCATTTCTGCTATCTAGTGATGCTAGTACTGTTTTAAAAGGATACTAGATTTAGTCTTCTTAACAGAGCCTTAAGAAAATTCACATGGAACTGAAAGTTTCCCTCTAAAGACTTTAGTGAAAGTTTAATCAGGGCCTATATTTATTCTTAAAAGAAAAAAGTGGGAGAGATTACGCTCCAAAAAACAGTCTGAAAAAATCTTATGTAGGGAATATAAGCCAGATACTTTCTGTGATTTCTCTTTTGATTCTCTTGTCCTTATTAACCAGAAAAACAAAAACGAATACCACTCCTTTAAGCAACAAATACCAAGTATGGGAAAAAGTTCTCTCAATCATCCTAACAGAAGTGGATAAAAATGTCATTCATTGTATCCCATGTCACCACTATGTGGCACTGTAAAATAAAGACCATTTAATGAGAAATTCAGAACTTACCTTATCAGAAGGTTTGAATGGATTTCCTTGACCACTTATTCCACCACTGATACTAAAACCAAGGCCAGGATTCTTCTCTATTCTCACACAAAACTAAGTTAAAAAGATACGGGAGGGTAAGTCAATATCAACATTAAAGCCAATTCCCTAAATAATGGCATCTTTTTTCATATATTCTGTTTCACCATTAACTAGACGAGTTGACCTTCTCAAAGGCTGTGTTACACAACATAGTAAAAGCCACTGGAATAGTTATAAACTGAAAGTATTTTCATGATTTTAACATAGTTGGGTGATACCTCAATATTCACAAAACTAGCTGCATTCTTGTACATATTTTAATTTTTTATGAATTCTGCTTCTATTTTCAAGGAGAGAAAATAAAACTGAGACTTGTGAAAAAGCAGTTCACACTGGCCAGATTCTTCACTCTCTCAGGAACACTGGGATAAAACCAGATGAGTGAGAACAGAATTTGCCCCTACATAAACTTCACCTCATGCATTTCATTTTACCCAGAAAGTGGTTTACTGCCTATGGCCTTATATAACAAAGAAGCCACTCGAAGCCACTCCTGAATTCCATCTATATTGGAAAGTAAGGGTCCAAATACCTCTTCACAGGAACAGTTCCAGAAAAATCTTTAACTTTACTCAGTTTGATTGATGCTTTTAAATATAATTTATCATGTATTCTAACATGGTGTTTTCAAAAGATGAAGCCAGCAGCTTAAATTACAAGTCTGGATTTTTTCTTCCAGTTGTTATGCGGTTATCATGATTTTATTTCAGTACTTTTAAAAGCAAACTAAGAATCGCATTATGATGACACAATTTGTTTTCAACCATGTACACTAAGCTTTGCGCCCTCTCATTCATCTCTCTCCCATTTTTGTGGATTGCTGTGTTTAATGAAACATTCACTTCCTTGAAATATTGCCTCTGTTTTTTCTTGCACTGAGAGACGGCATGTTTGGCACTGAGCTGCAGACACTTTCAGCATGTGATGTTCATGGCTACATTTCCCTCTTTACTGTCCTGATGGAAGGGTCGGCGTTAAATCCCCCCAAGCTTCTTTTTGTGTCTCTAAACACAGTTTTAGAGTTCTTAGCCTCAGACTCCAAAGAAGAGGGGTAAGCAGGCTGGCAGCATGCATATAGACAAAGAAGATACAGAAAAGAGTAATTTAGAACAGATAATCTCTCTTTAATTCATTATTCCTCAAACGGTCTCGTAAGTGGGAGATGAGCAAGCAGAACATTTCTCCCAAGGAAGCAAGCTGACTTCTCAGTGCAAACATTACAAAAACAAGCAACAGTTCTAGGTGATAGATCAAGGGAATATTAAAGTGACTGCACTTTTTAACCCACCTTTTTGAAAAACAGTACATTTTTCCCAAAGTACAAAGACAGCCCTAAACAACACCCTGTAAGTTTTACAAAATGACAAAGGCCTTTGAGTTTGTTGTCTCTATTTGATATCAGCAGCTAATTAGGGGCCACTACTACTTAAAATCCTCATCAATGACCAGGACAGTGGGATGGAGCAAGGCCACAGATGACTCCAAACTGGGGGGAGCAGCGGCCATGATGGAAGGTTCTGCCAAACAGAAGAAACCTGGACAGGCTTCAGGAACAACCTGTGCCTGAGACATGATAACTGCAGGCAGGAGGACAGGCTGGAGCTGGCTGGCTGAGGAGCAGAGAAGGAGTGAGCAGCCTGGTGGACCACAAGCTGTCCACAAACCAGCAGCAAAGCAGCCAGCTGCAACCCAGGCTACACTAACAAGCACACGTCTCGTAAGCAAGGTCTCTTCCAGAGCGCAGTGTCTCACGTGCAGGATCTCCAATGAAAGACGCTGACAAATACAGGCCATTTAAGGCCAGAAAGCCAAGATAGGTGGTGGGAGCACCTGGTATTTGAGGAGAGGCTGAAGGAACTAAGTTATTTAGGCTCAGGAAGATGGTTAAGCGGGATGTAATTGCAGGCTTCTACTGCCTAAGAGGGGGCTATAGAGAAGATGAAGGCAGGCATTTCCCTGAGGAGCTCAGTGAAAGGACAACAGCAAAGGACATAAGTTGCAGCTAGGTCAATTCTCACAAAATAGCTGAGGTTGGCAGGGACCTCTGGAGATGGCCTGGTCCAATCCTCTGCTGAGGCAGGGCCACCTAAAGCAGGTTGCCCAGGACTGTGTCCAGTCGGGTTTGAATACCTCCAAGGATGGAGGCTCCACAACCTCTCTGGGCAACCTGTTCCAGTGTTCAACTACCTCATAGTAAAGAAGTGTTTACCTATGTTCAAGCGGAATTTCCTGTGCTTCAGTTTGTGTTTGTTGTCTGTTGCCCTGAAGTGGACATATTCTGACTGGACATAAGGAAACAGTGATAAGAGGTCAGACACTGGAACAGGCCCAGAGAGGTTGTGGGATCTCCAGCGCTGGACATTTTCAGGTCTCAACTGGACACAGTTGATCTAACTTTGAAGTTAGCCCTGATCTGAGCCAGAGGTGTTTCACTGGAGACTTTTCCAGGTCCCTTCCAGACTAAATTCTTTGCATCTGTGAATAAACAAAAATTTAAGGATAGCTGAACATAGAAATTATTCTGCTTCAGAAGGAAGAAGCAGCAGTTTAAGCCCAGCAAAGCAGATCTGAAAACAGTAAGAAAGCCACATTCTTCAAGTCATTTACAGAGCACAATGCAGGCGATTTTCTGAGTGGACAAGTAGACCAAAGACCAAGTAACTTTGGTCCCAATTCAAGAAATATGTACAGTGTATGGCACTGTATGAGAAGCTAAATATACACTTCCACAGTATTTTGATGGCTTTACAATCAAAGACTCTGTGAAAGGAAACCACACTTCTTCAGCGCAGTCATGCAGGCAAAGCAATGGTCTAAAATTAAAGCTCACAGGTCTGTGCCCTCCTGGGCAGTTGCGTCATACCTGCTGCATCCTCCTGTGCTACCCTTACGACAAACCCAAGGAATAAGCAAACTGAAGCTCAGAGATCTTCAAACTACGTCAGCATCAGGGCCACAGCCCTGGGAGTTACTAGGACTTAGCATCAATCACTTTTACAGGTGGCTCACTCCAGTAAATAGTGCTGAATATTGTCTTTTAGTCAGGATGACTGTAGATGTGGATTGGATAATTGAATATTAAATAAAAGTGACTTCAGTGCAGCTTAATGACTATTCATTGACCCAGTCCGAGCAAGTACTGTGAGCCCCACAAGCAATTGCTTTTGTAGCTTGGTATTATGCTCAGGGACTTAATGCAGACAGTTACTTATATGGGTTGTCCAACACTTTACACAAGAGAAAAGTCCGCTAATGATTCTGAACATTGTTCTTCAAGTCAGGTGACTCAAAGAGTTATTGAAAATATTAAGGCCAAATACAATGGGGATAGGACCACTTAATGAAGAAACTCATCAGCGCCCATTAGAGTGGACTTCGGGGCGCTGGAATTTCAGCTGGGCTTTCTTAAGAGCTGAACTGAAGCAGCCTATACAAATCTGAGTATATCAGCATCTTGCCAAACATGCTGTGGTGTTAGCACTGAACTAGGTTATTGAGGAATCAGTAGAAATTGTGAATTAATTCAGTGCTAGTTAATTCAGTTGGGATGCCAGCTCCGTTCAGGAATTTCAATGCCAAATTGACTTGCCTGCTCAATCCAAGAAAAAGTGGTATCAGTCCCCGGTGCTGGGGAAGGGGACTAGACCTGCTCACCTGCTACCAAGTCAGCCATAACCTCCCTCACACCGTCTTGGATATTTGCCTTTTGTTACGGCCCCAGGCTCCCTTTTAACGGCTATATACAGGACAGAAAAAAACAGATACTGTTTTTGTCAGCGCTGTTTTATACATACACTTTCTCACCTGCTCCTGATACGCGTCCGTACTTCTCTGACCCTTGGTTTGGATTAAACATCGCCCTGTCTGAGGTGCTCGAGAGGTCTGCGAAGAGGGGATCTGTATAGGCAGTGGTGGCTGAAACTGCTGAATGGTCACTTTGTTCATGTTCCCTTCGTACTGCTGCTCGCGGCTCCGATGTTGTAGGCTTTGTGATCCCATTAAAGTCTGGATATGGCTACCTGCCTGTGGGTAACGTAACCCGTTAGGCCAGAAATTCAGGAAGCTGAAAAGAAGCAATTATTACAACTTACAGAGTCAAGTAAAAGCAAACCTCTTAAATATTATGAGAGGTTTGCCTTTTGACCACAATTGGAAACAACTGTGATTAAAAGCAGCAAGGATCTGCCAATTGCATTTAGTGATCCTAGGAGGTTTAAGGAAGATTAGAGGCATACAGTATTTTTTACGAATGGAAGATATTTTTCTCCTTATTTCATGTTATATGCTTCTGCTCAAAAAGTTCGTGAACTGAAAACATATACTAAAATACAGTAAGGTGGAGTATTCATCACAGCACATTCTAAAGACTAACTATTGAATACTGGAATGCTTTTTTTCTGAGGATAGTTTGGAATAAGATTTGCGCCACAACTATAGATATTGGCCATTGTTGTGCACCGTATACAACACACACAGTTGATTAAATTCAGTATCACTGCCTGTCCTAGGAAAAAATGTGTCTTTTACAAAATCTTACGTTTCATAATATGTAACTAATTAAATTACCAAATTTCTATGATAATTTCTTGCAATTTGACACTTTAATATTTTTCAAATGTAAGTGAAATATCAAATTTACACAGGTAAAGGTGGGGATCTTTTGATATTTTCAGAAAAAAATGGATGACTGCTAACTTTCTTCCATGCCCTTCATCCCCAATGCCTTTCACATTTGCAGCTGTGATCTAACAGCTGAGGTTTGCTTTCTATATTACTCTCTTCTTGACATGGTAAAGCTGCATACTTGCTTACTCTTCGGTAAACATTCTCTATTTAGGCACACAAATTACATAAACATTTGAGGCAAATCATTGCAAAATAAATACAGTCAAGACCATTTTATACTTCTCATATTTACAGGATTGAGCTGTTGTTGCTTATAAGTAACTGCATGCAACTCAGCAATAAGGGAAAGACCAAAATTCATGTTCTGCTATATGATCAAATATTACTACCTCCATGAAACATTACACACTTGCTACTGACAGTTTTCAGATTATATAAATTCATTAGCCTATGTTGTTATTTGAACAGTCTGAATGTAAATAAACATTATCATTTTAGGTCTCAATATCTACAAGCCTCCACAGGCACAGCAGAACTACTTAACCCATGTTTCGTATTAAGCTCACACCAGCCAATGGCACAATGACTTCTAGTCATCAAGCTCTAACTCTTAGCACTACTGCACATTTATGATCCTGATGAAAGAGTCACCAATTGTGAGGCTACTTTTTAGATAAGATTAAATTTAACACAGCAAAAGATCAAAACATTTCTTACCCATTGGCCAATCATCCGGTCTCAGAAGCTACAGCAGCCAAGGTGCTGTTAGAATTAACTGCTTGTTGCCACAGCAAAAATGAATTCTAATGGATTATCAAGATTTTTTCTGCAGAATACCTCACTAATACAGATGCAGTTGGAGCTACTTGTGCCACTGAACACAGAATCCTAGCAATATTCACAGCGACTGCTAGGAAAACTGATCTGCTCTGTCTTACTTTTTTGCCCACTGCATTTGAACAAAGGGACTACCTCGGATACATTCAAATACTGTGTACTCCTTTGATATTCTCAAAGCGAGTAATGACAGAGCAATATCTGTTTATTTCTTGTGTCCAAATCCTCAGTCCCTAAACTCTTTTTAGAAAATAGCTCATCTGTGGATATGAAAGTGCTTTACAGACATCGATAAAACTTGTTCCTGGGATAGTCTTGTGAAGTTTGTACTATTAATATCCCATTTTACCGGTCAGAAAGATCTTCAGCTCATCCGAGATCAGAAGGGAAGGAAAATGTCCACGACAGAACTTTATCCTATTCTTTAACTCTGCAGGGGCAACTAGCCTTGTCCTCAGCGGATCACCGAATCTGTGTCACCTTACACTGCTGAGATGCAAGCTGAGCAAGTAAAAGTGTGCAGTATGGGTCTGTACTTTATGTTGTGCCAGATATTCATCACAGGAGGACCGGAAAATGCAGAATCTCTTCAACTGCACTATATGCCCCAGATACAATCCCAACATAACCACCGGATCAGTCCACAGCAGGTGCATTGCCTGCCTCAGAGAAAGAATTCTGTTTCATATACAAAAACATTGTGATTCTTCACTGAACAACCTCAAATCTTCTTTATTGGTTTATATGACCTCTGGATTGAACAGCACATGCTGGAAATGAAACACAAAGACCCTCTGGCCTCTCAGTGGTGGCTAACAGAAATGCTCACAGATCAGAAGGGAAGAGAAATGGTGACTTAAGCCACTTTTGTACGTCCCCGTTTTGAGGCAGCTGGCCTGCTCCAGTTCTGTAGCATGCGCTCCTTCCACGTCCACTGGGCTGACTGCAGCCCACAGAGGCATCTCCAGCAGCTTGCACGGCCTCAGCCTTTGCGCAGACTGTGCAGTCCTGCAGTGGCCACAGAGGAGGCCAAATAACACCATCCTATGCAGCCCCAAACCTGCGTAGCTCATCCTCACATAGGAGGGTCACCCTGCGCCTGCGACGCTGATGTCTACTCCTATTCCATCTTTGCTCACGTTCTTCAACCTCTCTTCTTCCCAAGAAGCAATCTCCAGGTTCCCTCTCAGTGATCCCCTCCCTCCATGCATCCACCCGTTCCTTTTTTAAGGAGGAGCAGATAATTCAGACTATAACTGATTTAATCAGGTATGTAGTTGACTTTTGTCTTGTTGCTGTGACAGAAAAAGCGGCTCTTCCAAGAAGCATAAAAAGTGCAGTCTTTCAATAAACGAGTGGACTATTCAATTTAAACATTACAATATCCAACTTTTCCTTAAGAAAAAATATCCCATCATTTGCCTGAAAATGACTAGACAAAAGAGTACACTTAAATTAAAATATAACTGTCATTTAATCTGCATTCTCAACAGTAAAAAGGAAAGAAACAACCACTCATCTACCATACAATTATGTAGTGATTACCAGGTAGTATTCCCACCCTACCTACCACACATAAGTACCCATCACCATAGGTATAATAGGCTTATGGGTATGGATCATTTAGGCACACATTTTATTGTGTCTGTATACATAGTCTATCAGCCTGAGAACACACTCTTTTTTTTTTTTCAGTCTCAGTCTATTGTACACACTCTTCCCTTGGACAAGCAAGTCCCAACTCTTCTTTGAGTGACTTCCAAAGTAAAGTTCTACCATGTGGTGGTGATTCTGCTCTATTTTGCACTAGCCCATTAAAACTAGTGCTGTTATGTTAGTGGAAAACACAATGTATACTTCAATTTATAGTTACAACATTTGTTCGTGATGTTGAACTTCACTTCTACAGAAGATTTTCTGAGTCTGACTTCAAATACTCACTGTATTTTAATCTCCAAATGGTGGAGACACTCTAGGTCACTTTCAATGGAAAAGAGATTAGCACTGTCATAAAAGCACATTGCAAATCACCTCCTGAGAATGGCAGGTAAAAAATTCTCAGAATTTATTTTCTCACTCCTGTTAATAGGCTTTCTTTGAAGAGATCGAATCACGATCGTATCACCACTTCTTGTGTATTCACTCTGTGGCTCTTGCTGGAAGTGGATAAGCTGAAAACTAATCCTTTTCTTAGAAACAGAAATTACCTATTTTGCAGAAACCCCCCCCTTCTTTTATGCAGACTCTTTCTCCTGATTTCATTTGCATTTTGAACATTATGTAACATCCACCACAGAAGTTAATTATTTTCAGCTCAGCGTCCAATATTTTCAGTTTAACTAAAGTAGCTGACAACAAATGAAATAACAGATTGCTCCAATAAGTGAAGCGAATTTCAGTATGGTTATGCAATGTTGGTACTTACAATGTCTGAGCACCCAGATATTCATTCGGAACGAAATAGAATCTGCAGTTTCTTATTATAGTAACATCGATGATGCACAAATGCAAGATGTAGATTACCTTAGACTGTGTGAACGGATAAATGCTGGTTTTATCCCAATATATCAGTGAAGATAAGGAATAACTCCTCTTAAAATTCTTCTCCTGGTTTCTTGCATAGGAGAGGATAAAGAAATCCTTTGAATAACTTCACTCTCAAAGCCAACTCCATCACACAGCACCAGGGTGCTGTCTCTCCCCTTCACCATCCTTTGCCTCAGGTGGAGTATCTGTGCTGCTCTGGGTATAACGACTTCTGTCTCCTATCTTCAAGCAATTCTCTTGTACGTGTGTAAACTCTCTCTTTTCACTAATTTTCTGTAAGGGCAAGGGCCGCTGCTACTAAAACTGTCTTGAATAAAAAAAAATTGAAGCCAGTAGGGGAATATTTGCTTCATCCATGCTAACGGTTATTTAAGCTACTTCAATTATCAATATGCACATTATGACTTTCACACCAGTTTACTCACTTATATGACTTTACTGCAGGAATGAGCAGGACCAGTCTCCATGTAGATCAACAAGCAACATAATTATCACTGCTTATATGTGCAGCTCCATCTTCTAAAGCTGATTGCAAGCACAGTTTAGTTTGTTAAGATCCTGTATTCTTCAGTTTTATGACTAGAATATAGAAAAATGACCAGTTTCTCAGTCAATGTGAACAGGGCCAAGTTGGGGCTGGACGAGAGCAGCCAGCGTTTTGACAGAAACAGGCCAGATCCAGGAACTATAATTTAGTATCTATCGCCACAAGATACTAGAAATCAGACCCCTGTGATCTCTTATTAGATACAATCCTTCTCCAACTCTGATAGTGAGTTTATCAACAGCTGACGCACTGCCTAGGACATCTCTGCCAGCATGCCTATGACAGTCCAGGCGTTGAGCTGGTCTCCATCTCAATACATGTATTTTTTGCCATTAAGTTATCACAACCTAAGAATTGAAATTAATTTGAATGAAGGATTTTCAGGATAAAAGGGAGCTGACAACTCTCTCACATGTGGGAGTACACCTGCTGA